GCTGGTCTCGTGCTTGGTGCAGGGGTTTCTAAAGCTCTGCCTTCGGAAGCAGGGCCAAAAATCCATGTTTTACAGACAGTGGGAGGCTGAGGGAAATTGTTGAAAGGCAGAGTCAGGTGAAGAGCCTATCCCTCCTTTGATTCTGTTCCCACTATTCTGTGCTACTCCCAGGATTTCAGGAGGGTTGGTCCATCCACAGGTGGATTGCAGGTTGTTAACACAGCCCCAACCACAGAACCATCCCCCACAGGGAAGCAATTCTTCCTCTGTTGTGGATGCACTTTGGGATCTGAGAAAAATTTCTCCCTCATCTCTGAATTTCTCCCTCTTTTCATTCCTGAAATTCTGTGTGGCCGTGGCTGCTCTGCTGAGCTCCTGCCTGGGGTCAAGGCTGGCTGGTCACACAAGGTCAGGCCAGTGCAGGCACCTCTGTGAGCTGCAGCTCCAACTGACAGTCAAGCAAAACATTCCATTTTCTTTGCCAGCTGGAGCAAGCCCTTGTTTTCAGCTCATTTGTGATTCATCAGACCGTGGACTTTTCTAGGAACATCAGCAGATGCCGATCACGAGGGGCTGCACGATAGAAAGTGGGAGAATGTTTGGGGACTGAAGAGCATCATTATTGTTCCCCCCCTCCCTGTTGTGCAGCACATGCAATCCTTTTTTTAGTGCCTGACCCACTGAGAAAGCACAAATTGGAGCTGCCATTCCCACAGGAACCCTGCAGGAATGTTGGGCTGTTGGGTTGTTTCCCCCCTCCCCCAAGTTGTGAGCTGCAGGGCTAAATCTGGGAGTGCTTTTAGAAGTAAGAGCTCTATGAAGGTGTCCTAATTCTTTTCACGTGGGCCACCAAGGAGCTGATCTGTGGTAAATCACATTCACCCCTCTGCTTTCCCCCCTTCCTGGCCTGGGGCTGGATTTGGACCAGTGCCCCGGAGATGAGATGTTGATCCTCGTGCCTTGAGCCATCAGACATGATCAGAAATCAGGTTCTTCTTCTTTCCCACCTCCCTGGAGAACTCTCAGTTCCCAACGAGGGAAGCTGGTGGGAGTGGTTTGTTTTAATCCTGAATAATAGGCTCTTATCCCTGAATAAACAAGAGGTTTTGTGAGAGGTGAGATTCCTTTGGGACAGTCAGACAGCTGCAATTCTAGCTCTGAGGGTTGTTCTCTGCCTGGCATCTCTCACCACAAGTCTGCTGCTGTGGATTGTTGCAATATTTGTTGTAATGGATTGTTCTTGGGCTGGTTTGGGGAGGCAGTGCCAGTGTCCTCTCTCTGGCCTGGGCACCAGGGCTGGCTCTGCTGTGAAATGGGGCAGAGATGCTGGAAATAACATTTAATTTTAACAATGCTGGATAAAGGAAAGGAGAGAAATACTAAGAATAATCCAGAGAAGTGAAAAAGTGTTTACATTTGAGCTAAAGCTTGCCCTGGGGGCTGGAGCCATATGTTGTGCATCACACAGCAGCCCCCCTTTAAACTCAACATTTCAGCAAGGAAGGGAAAAGAGCAAAGCCAGGCTGAGGAGACTGAACAAGGAAAGTGTGTGTTGTGTTGTGCAAATGATCCAGGGCTTTATGCTTTCCATAGTCTCTGCTTGGCCATTGTGGGTTTTATGCAACATTCCACGGCATTCCCTCCCTCCTGACAGCTGTTCAGAGCCTGCTGCTTCAGGGCCAGGCAGGGATCTCGGGATATGCATCCCTGACTGTTGGCTTAGACAATCCCAGCTCCCTCCAGAAGATATCCAGGTCCTGGGCACTGCCAAGAGCGGGAAGACAAAGCAAAATCAGTTCTGTGCCTGCCTTCCTTCCCCTTCCCCATCCCTCCATATGGATCCCCTCAGTGTAATGTGTTCCACTGCTTGCACACACTGTGCAGAAACCAAAGCCAGGAATGTTTTTTCTCTCCAAATATAGTCAGGATGACAGTCCTTGCCTGGAGTCCAAACCAAATATCCTCACTCCAGAACCTGAGACCTCTCAAACTCAGCACAGCTCCGAGGCTGCAGCAGCGCTTGGGTAAGAGCAGCTCCCTCAGAGCTGAGTGTGGGCAATATTTTCAGCAGGGACACTGGGAATTCTGGCCAGAGCTTGTGCCCTGCCCTGGTGGATCCAGGGGCACAGAGACTTTCTCAGGAGCACTGTTTGTTCACGTGGCTCCCTCTGCTCCATCTGTGAGCCCTGAATGGCTCAGCACGAGAGCTCCCCCCACCTGACTCTCACTGCCCTGAAAACTGGGCTTTGTCTTGGCCTTGCTGCTGAGCTGCTGTCTCAGCAGATCTGTGGCTTGAGCTTGAAGAGTTTTTAGAGCATCCTGCAGCTTGGTGGGGTTGGATGCACAGGAACTGGGTTTTTGGGTGAGTGGGCACAGAGCATTCCCAGCATATGGGGAAAAGTGAACCAAGGGCTTTCCAGAAAACCCTGCTCTCACTCCTGATCCATCCAGGTGTTCCCTGCTTGCTTCCCTGACAGGGAGGCAGATCCTGAGTGTCACAGAGGGTGTGAGTCGTCTCTGCAGGTAAAGATTCCTGTTCAGCACATGTGGCACAAGGTAAATGGCTCACGTGCAGTGTGGTCCCTTCCCACCCAGAATACTCCAGTAACTCCTGGGGAAAGGGCTGTCTTGGCTGTGCTGACCTTTAGTAACTACATAAAATTCAGAAACAATGAGGTCCTGAGAATGCACTGTTACTAAAGCTCTGTACACTGACTTTGCAGGAGTGTTTTAGAAGTATTTTACAGAAACTTTCTTTACAATGGGACGAAGGGGATTCACGGTTCCCTCGGGCTGTGGTTGTTGAGTTCCCACTCTGTGCTTCAAAGCTCAGGCTCCTGTGCTCCTCTTCACAAAAATAAGGCTTCTTAGAAGATTTCAGGTTGCTGTTCTTTGAGATTCCACCCTCCACCTCAGGCAGGTCCTTCACCTGCCCAGTTCTGTGGTTCTCACCCTGCCAGGTGCAGGTTCCAGCCCTGCCCTGCAGCCAGGACTGATGTGAGATTCCCTGCTCTGAGGTGCTCAGGTCCTGTGGCAGGAGGTGGATGTGCAGTGCCTGAGTTGATTTTTCAGGCACTGCTGGCTCTCCCTGGCTGGGTGAAAGGCAGAGGCCCTCAAAGCTGTTACGCAGTTCTGGGGCTGAAACTCAGTGTTCTTCCAGCACTCTTTGATAGCAATATTTTTCTTGTCAAGCCAGTGCTGTTTCACTGGAGAAGAGCTCTTGGCTCAAGGCTTTGAGTCCCATTCCAAGGCAGCTTTTACTTCAAGGCTCCCTTCTCAATCAGCCTTTGTAGGTGTGTTCTCACCTACAGAAAGCAGCTTGTTGGGGGGGACTCAGGCACTGATCCTTCAGGAGGAGTGTGTTGTTCCCAGTTCCTCCCCTGGTGCTTTGATCTGCAGCTCAGCCCACAAACAGAGCTGCATTTGCATCTCTCTTTGGAGCTCCAAACAAAGGGCTTTTTCAGAGGGCTCATGCACAGGCACGTTCCTTCTGCCAACTGTGCTACTGGGGAAGGAGGAACCATCCCTAGAAAGCTTTGAGGTGAGCCAATAACAAGGAGGTAGAGCCCTGCACCCTGGCTTTCTGCTCTTCATCACACTTCCAGCTTCCCTTTGTAATTCCAACCACAGCTTCCTGCCCTGTTACTTCTTCTTCTGTCCTCCTGGTGTCTGAACAACTGCTGCACGTTGTCCTCTCCCTGCAGAAAACATGGGTTTTCTCCAGGGGAGGGCTTGGTGGGAATGGAAGGGGAAACTTCTTGTTCAGTTGTACAAACAGGCTCACTGATCTTATTTATTCTGAGTTGTTTAAAAGCTCCAGGCCAGCTGTAGTCTGAAAATACATGAAACTTAGGAAGTGTTGCAAGCTCGTGAACTAGGGGGAGAAAATGCAAATGAAACAATTTTTCTTTATTACAATTACAAGAATTTTCTGAAACTTTTCAAATGCCTCAGATACCCCCAAGGAATGTTTTATAGGGGCTGGCAGCAGAGCTACCCCTCCCTGGCATTTGCTTGTGAAACTGGGAGCTTGCAGAGTTTGGGCAGAACTGGAGCTGAGCTCACCCCCCCACCTAAGGACCAGGGGTGACCCCCCAGGAAAGTGCAGCTGAGGATTTCTGAGGAAGCTTTTTTAAAAAAGTCCTGGACTGATTCAAGTCTGGAGCCCGGAGATGCCTCCAAGAACCTCCCAGCTGAGGACAAAGCGGCCACTTCTCCAGGTCAGTCTGTGAGACCCCCAAGTCAGTGTGGTTCTGAGAATGCTTGTGTTCCTCGGCGTGATAACCCAAGTACAGCACAGACTTGCAGATCCCTTGCCAAGTCTGATGGGAGAGGGAGCTGGTGTTTACTCTTCTGTGAGTTTGTAAACTCCCTGAGCAGTTTCCCAAGCACAGAAAGCCCTGCCTGCTCTCACTGCATCTCCTTCTTCTTTCTCCTGCTGAAGGCAGCCCGTGACAAATGACAGCTCTTGAGCAGTTCAGCATCCCTAATGAAACATTCCAAGGGCATGATGCTGGCTGCTGCATTCCCTGGGCTGCCCCCTCCCCCCATTCTTTCATTACATAAAAGCTGACAACTGCAGATTTGGCCCCTGTTGATCACACAGTTAAAGAAAGGAGTTCATGTCCACCCCAGCTTGTTTCACTTTGCTGCTGCTCCTCGGCCAGCCCAACTTTCAGCTGCAGTAACATGATCCCACTTGGCAGAGCCTGAGAGAATCTCTGGCACATTGGGAAGAGGCTTAATGTAAAGTCTACTTCTTTTTTTTTTCTTCTTCTTCTTTTTTTTTAATTTTTTTTGAGAGCTTTTTTGAAGCTCTGCTGGTTCTGCAGAGCTTTTGGCAGGAGCTGCGAGGGCTCCTCGCGGATGCTCCAAATGTGAGCGCAGGGATTAGGGCTGAGCTCTGCGCAGGGGGATGTCTTAGAGCCTGTCCCATCTCCCTCCAAAAACTATTAAAGAAAGCCATGGATCCAGCAGAAGAGCTTTCTGCAGACAGGAGGAAAGGCTTCCCCTCACTGGACAAGAAAAGGAGCGGTGGCTGGAGGACCGTGCTGGGATTTCTGTGCCTCTTCCCCGTGGTGGCTCTGCTGGCGCTTGTGGAACATCCAGCTGGAGCTGCACTTCAGGAAAGTCAGGTAGGAGAAGGGATCTGATCCTCAAATGCCTGACAGGGGTGTGGGGTATCAGATACATGGACATTCTGTTTAGAAGGTGGGTGCACTCAGGAAGAAATCTGAATAAAGGAATATCTCATCTAAATAGGGAAATACCTCTTAGGGCTACAAGGAGTGTTTAGGGCTGTTGGGGTCCCTTTGGGCAAAGGCTCCCTGAAGGTAACGGTGCATCCCAGTGACTCAGGTGTCAGAGGTGCAGTCTGGGGCAGCCAGACGTGGATGCACAGAAGATTTGGGTGGTTTTCTCCCAGAGTTTCAGCTGTTCCTGTGAACCCTCTGCTCTCCCAGCCTGGGATGATGTGGCATTGCATGCCCTGGGATTTCTGGAGCAGCTGAGCTTTCCTAGGAACTCAGGGCTTGTGTAGGACCTGAACTGGGTCCTGCAGAACTCTTGGCTGATCTCAGCTCTCTTTCAAGGTCCATCCATTATCAAGATGTTTTGGGACAGTCTGAATCCAGAGGGAACTCTGGCAAGGCTCTGGGACTCTCAGGAGCTGATCTTTATTTTTGCTTTCAGCTTACATTTAGCTTTTAAGTTTATATTAAAAAAAAAAAAAAAGAAACTTTAAGTGCATCTTCTTCTGTTTTTTTGTGTTTATGAAGCTCTTGGCACTGGTCCCCCTTGTTTGCATCACATGCTCAGGCTGTTATTAATTGGTCCTGGTTCAGAGTTATGTTGCTGTGGGGTTTGAGGGGGGAACTGCCTGGCCAGGAGGGAGAAGGGAATTAATTACAGTTGTTACAGCTCAGTGAAATAACTTACTGGAGGTCTGACTGCAAGGGGGAATAATGCAGAGCAGTTGGCCAGGTCTGCCTTTATATTTTTATATATGTATGTATATATATATATATATATGTTGTTGGTTGTTGAGAGGGAGAACTGAACACCTGCCCTTCCAGCACCTCCCAGGCATTTGGAGTTTTTGAGACCTTACCCCACAGCTGACTGAGTTTCTTCCTGGGAGGGTCTGACCTCTTCAGTTCTGTGCATTCCCAAAGTCTTGGATCTCTGGTGTCCAGGCAGACTCTTTGATCCAAGTTATATTGTGGATTTTTCACAGGGTCACTCCATTTCTGTCAGAGCCCCACAGCTGAGCTGCACTTTGGGTGGTTCCCCACCCTTCCCCAGTTCATTCTGCAAAGTTTTTCTTAATTAAAAGCATCTTTTTGCACCAGTGGTGGGCAGAACCCAGCCCAAAGTAGAACAGAGACTGGGCAGAAGGTTTGAGCAAGAGAACTCGACCTCTGCACCTCTCATGGTCCAGGGGGTCACATTCACATCTCAGGGGCTGATGCTGGGCCTGGGTCACCCTCCCTTTGGTTTGGATTTTGAGGAGAAGTTCATTAATGACACATTATTTTAATTGTTTCCCTCTGCCTGTTCAGCACTAATGAATGGCCTGAGGGTTTTAAGCTGTAGAAAAGACAATCATTTCTCTCCCTTGGGGCTGCAGGAGGAAGCAAATTCAGTGCTCTGGCTTTGCTCAGGAGCAGCCAGCACAGGGACAGAGAGCTGCTCACCCCAGTGTGAGGGAACAAATCTCCTGAGCCACTCAGAACTCCCAGTAATCCTGGGCTCCTCCTGACTGATGCCAGATTACACTAATAATGTAATCAGCCCCACCACTGGCACGGGATTGCAGAGAAAACAACAAAGACAGAAAGGATTTGCATAATTCTCCACTGCTTGAAAGAACTGCAAAAAAAAAAATAATATAAAAAGGGGAAGATAACTTATTATCCCATAATTATGAGCTAATCTTCTCCAGGCTTCTCTTGCAGCTCCAACAGATCCTCCACCTTGTCTGTGCTGCTCGAAAGGATGCGAAATTCTCCTTTCCTCTGGAGGGAAAGTGGCATTCTCAGAGCAGAATCAGAGGGAAAAGCCACGGGAGGTGAAGGGAGAGGGGCAGCAGCCCCTGTGCCCTCAAGTTCCTCGTGGGCAGAGACCGAGCTGGGCTGGGATGCTGAGTCAGAGCCAGGGCTGAGCTGCAGGAAAGGCTGAAATCTGTCCTTCTAGGAAAGAAAGAGGCTGAGATTAGATCAGGGTGGAGGCAAGAGTGGCTGTGAGAGTGAGGAAAGAGGCTGCTTTCCTGGTGGCATGGAGTCCCCGTGCCTGCTGAGTGCTCCTGCTCCGGGCACATCTGGCAGCTGTCGCTTCAGGCTCCTCGTCCTGCCCTGCCACTGCCTCGCTGTGACACCAGGGACGTGCTGGTTTGGCTCTCAGAGCCTCAGTCCTTCCATGAGGGAAATGAAGACGGCTCTTGTTGCCTGTGGAATGTGCTGTGAGGCTGAACAGACTCGAGCTGGTGCAGCTCTTGTAGCGTTGCCACTTGGGAAGTGTCCTGGTGCCTCTGGAGCGAAGATGGCTCACAGACATTCACTGTCCTGGGCCTGAAACGGGGAGACAGAGCAGGAAACCATCCAGAAAACAGTGTTGGGTCCCATTCTTTTACCTCCACTGCTCAGGATGAAAAGGCTTTTTCTAATTGGAGTCAGACGTGTCACTTAATTTGATGTCTTTTACTGTTGGATGGTTTAAATCCTCTCCAGGGTTTCCAGGGCTGCTGTTTACTTTGAAGGCATTTCAGATCCACAGCACAGCTCTGTAAAGAGCTCCCTGCACAAAGAGCTGCCTGTTTTAGTCATTTTTCCAGCTTTACATTTTCTTCTGTGGCCAGGCTGGAGAGCAACGGGAGAGCGAAAAGGAAATGAAAACTTTCCAGGCAGAGCTGCAGCCCTTGCCGTGGCCAGAAGCCTCCTGAAGCTTCGTTTCTGCTCCATCTGTGCCACACTCCAAGAGGAGGGTGGGATGGTGCAGGCAGACAGGACCATCTTGTCCCCTGGACACCCCTAAGGAGCTCCAGTTGTGCTCCCAGCCTGCAGATGTCCCGCCCTGCTGGTTTTTATTGCACCTTGATCAGTCCTGGGGTGTCTCCCGTCCCTCCCAACCTGCTGCTTTGTCTTTAAGGAAGATGCCACATCCCCTGGCCTGCATGGAGAGGGTTCCCCAGCTTGGCAAAGCCCGGCCCTCCCTCGGCCCCCAGCGCGGAGGAAACGCTACACCATCACCCCGGGCCACCTGCGATGGGACCACTTCAACCTGACCTACAAGTAAGGCCTGGCTTTGGCCCCAGGATCCCTCCTGGGGCCTGAGTTCCTCCTGCCACGGGTTTGGGGATTGCCCACGTGGTCACTGCTCAGCCCTGTGCAGGGAGAGCTGCTAAAGCCACTCTGAAATAGGAACATCCCTACGACTGCTGCACCTCTCACTTCAGTGGAGCTGTTCAGGGCAGATTCCTTAGCAGGGACCTCCCTCAGAAGGTCGTGACTGGAGGACTAACTGTGTCATGCTGATGTTTCTAACAGTTCTGTTGGAACCTAAACCATCCCTGAGGGAGATCCCTGTTGGGAGGTTCTGTGATTTCAGGAGGACAGAGCTGTTGGTGCTTTTAGGAATCTCGCTCCCTGTTGCCTCTGGGAAAGGATGTCCAGCCCTTGGATTATTAATAAGCAATAAAAAGCCCTTGACAGTTCTGGTGTGAGGGAACGCTCTGCTCCTTCACAGGAGCATCCCAAGCAGGCTCAGCCCCATCAGAGTCTTAATTGTCCAGGTTTCCCCTCATCAACAGCCTGGCTTGATACGAAACCTTCTGCTCCCTTTAGGGTGTGCTGGGACGAAGGGAGAACATAATCAGCATAGCTAAAAAACAACCCGAGGGGATAGAGAATATGCCCAGCTTTTCCCCATTGCTACACTTGAGGCAGTCCCCTGCATGCAGATCTTCCTGTGGGCCAAGGTAAGTTCCCAGGAGCCACCTGTGCATTCCCATGGCACCTGCACCAGGAGCTCTCCCCCAGCTCATCCGTGGCCTAAGCAAAAACCTCCCTCGAGTCTCTCTCCCATGTGATTTAGAGCTTTTTTTTCCCAAGGGAAATAACTTGTTTCCCTGTCAGATCTTTGATATCCTTGCAGAAGTTCTGCCTGAGAGTGTTTTTCACCACTGTGCTCATCCACTGCAGCCCAGGTGTCAGGGGCAGGAGTTCCCTGCTGCTGGGGCGTGATTGCTTCCTCTTCCAGCAGCAGACTGGGAGAGCCCAGGATAAAAACAGCTATCCCAGAGAACCCCATCTAAAGTGCTGTGCTTGAGGGGAGGAGCCAAAGCTGTAGGACAGAGCACCTGGTTGTAAAGAACATCAGCTCTTTGCCCGTCCCTGTGGGGTTCATCAAACACCGGTGACATCCAGCTCGAGCAGCTCCCGCTCTGAACCTGCCGGGAGCGAATGGGACACTGGGGCAGCCCTGGTGGTCCCAGCTGGTGTTTGAGGAGGCAGAGGGTGTTTTCCTGAGCTGCTCTGTGTGTGTGTCCCCCTGCAGAATCCTGTCGTTCCCGAGGAACCTGCTGAGCGCCCGGGACACGCGGCGGGGGCTGGCGGCCGCCTTCCGCATGTGGAGCGACGTGTCCCCCTTCAGCTTCAGGGAGGTGCCCCGGCACGTCCCCAGCGACCTCAAAATCGGTGAGACCCTCAGGGACCCCGGGAGGATCCAGGGGGGGTTAACTCCACAATTTCCAGCCTGAATCCAGGGGGTGGGAGGCAGCAGATGCTCCTCCTCGGCCTCTCTTGGGTGAGGGTTGGGGCATCCTTTGCCTTTAGTCAGGCAGAGAAACTACTGTTAGCTTTTATTACTTATTATTTTGCTTATTATTTTATTGCTTATTACTTATTTTAGCACTTATTACTTATTTTATTGCTTATTTTGATTGCTTTTGTTAACGTTCCTTGTTAATATTTAGGAAGTGCTAATATCACGATTAACTCTTCCCGGCAGTCAGGAAGCTTTAGGGATTTGCCAAAAATTAACACTCAGGTTCTGCCACTGGGATGGGGAAATCCACGGATTCCTGTGGATTCCAGGGATGCAGAAATCCCCAGATTCGTATTCCACAAATGGGGAAATCCCCAGATTCGTATTCCACAAATGGGGAAATCCACAGATTCCTGTTCCAGGAATGCAGAAATCCCCAGATTCGTATTCCACAAATGGGGAATTTTGCAGAGGAATAAGAATCTGTAGATTCTTATCCTGCAGGTTGGGAATCTGAATGTTGGAAGGTGAGGAGCTGTACCCAGGGTCACACAGAGCCAGGGCAGGAGATGGATTCCAGTTGTTCCCGGGTTTGCTCTCCCCTTTGTTGATCCCTCCCCTCCCTCCTGCCCCTCTCTTGCTCTGCAGTTGCTCTGGAGTTCCTGGGGCCTGGAAGGACGTCAGTGCTGAGGCTTTTCCTGCTCAGCCTCAACCCCAGATGTAAATCCTTCCTGGGATTTATGGTCTGTGTGGAATCCTGATTTCCTGTGTGTGTGGCAGCAGGGCTGAGACAACCAGCAGACTCTCCCCATCGTTTCGCAACTCGCTCTGGAGCTGCAGGACCCTGCTCAGAGCACATGATGTGCTTCCAGGGGTCTGTCCTGCTCCCCACTTCCAGGGGCTGCAGGATGCACCGTGGTCCTGCTGTGGTGCTGACAAATTGATGGGGAGCGGCTCTCCCAGTAACTCTGCCCCTGCTTATTGACATTTAAAACAACAATTCCATCCCGGGGTTATCAGTTCAGCTTCTCCCTTTAAAAAAAAATCATTTCCATGTGATGTTGCAAGACGAGCTCGGCGTTCCCTGCTGGGAAGTGAACTTATTTGTGTCCCCTGGGAGCAGCTCTGAGTCCAGGGGCAGCACGTGGCCGTCAATCGCTTTGCATTTATCTTCGCTCCTGCGGCTCTGGAGGTCGGGAAACACGTGGGGTCCCACCCGAGACCTCTGTAGTGACTCAGGAGTTCACTGACCCTACCAGATCCACTCAATCTTGCTGCTTTTTGGGTTTTTTTTTTCCCCACAGGCTTCTACTCCATCAACCACACGGACTGCCTGGAGTCCCTCACCCACCACTGCTTCGACGGCACCACGGGGGAATTGGCCCACGCCTTCTTCCCGCCCCACGGGGAGATCCACTTCGACGACCACGAGTACTGGATCCTGGGGAACACCAGGTTCAGCTGGAAGAAAGGTGAGCAGGGAGTGCCTGGGATTTGGGCTTTTAGGCTGGGATTTAGCTGGTTTTGGAGGAGCCAGCAGAGGCGGTTGTGGGTTTGGGGGGGTTTGGGAGCTGCTCTTCTGCCCTGTGATCAGCTGGGCTGGGGGACCCTGGGTGGTGGCAGAGCCGTTTCTGGCTGAGTGATTCAGTGGGATTATCCAAGAGTTCAGTCACATCCCTCAGCTGAAATCCAGCCCTGCTGGATGCAGGGGTCAGGAGGCTGCCAAGAGGCTTGAGGGTGTCCCAGAGGCTGAGGGGAGTGCAGAGCTCAGTGGAGGCCCTTTCAGAGCCGGAATATTCCCACTAAAAACCCCATTTCCAGTCCCAGCTCAGGGCTCTGGGAACAAAGTTGAGTGGGAAGCTGACAGGAGGGAGTGCTGCACAGGGACAGGCATTCCAACATTGCTCCTTTGGAGCCTGGCACTGCTGCTACTGGAGCTCAAATGTGGAAATAATCTGCTTTATTTGGACCCATCAATGATGAAACTGGGGCAGCCTTCGACAAGACCTTTCTGGTGCTGAACTATTTCCTCTGGGTTTGGGATTAGCAAATACCCTTTTTTACCACACGATTCCAGCTGGTTTTCCCTTCCTTCCAGGTGTTTGGCTGACAGACCTGGTCCATGTGGCAGCTCACGAAATAGGCCACGCCTTGGGCCTGATGCACTCCCTGAACCCCAACGCCCTCATGCACATCAACGCCACCCTGACTGGGAAAAAAACCATCTCCCAGGATGAGGTGTGGGGCATCCACAGGCTCTATGGTGAGGAACCAGGGCTCTGCATGCCGTGGAGTTGTCGTTGTGTCAGAGCCCGGCTCTCTTTGTGCTCCTCCTTCAGATTCTTCCCCCTCCCAGCTCCCCCATTTACGCTGGGGGATCTGATTAATGGAATGTGGATTTGTTTTGCAGAAGAAACTCTCTCCCCCAGCCCCTCTAATACCCGTTTCTCCTCCTGTTTCAGGCTGTAAAGACAGATTATTTATGTGCCAGGCATGGGCAAAAAAAGGCTTCTGTGAGAAGCGCAGGAAGCTGATGAAGAAGCACTGCCCATCCACCTGTGACTTCTGCTACGGTATCCCAATTTCTTCTGGGCTTTGGGGAGGGGTTTGGCACACAGGGAGGAGGTAAAAGTGATTCAGGGATAGGCAGGATCTTCATTTCAGGCTGGAGATCAGGGGGTGCAAGTGCTGCAGCTCCAAGCAGCACAGCAGAGGAGGGGGCTCGGGTGTTTAAGGTGAAGGGCTGGAATTAGGGGGCAGTTTTTATGTTTGAACAGTTATGGAGTGGAACATTAAACTGTCCCGTTCCTCTCTAGTTTAACTGAACCAGTGGCAGGGGATAAACACCACAGGCAGGGAGAGGGAAGGGCTGTAGGGAGGGGACAGAAACAGCACAAGGGGCATCTCAAGCACAGCTGGACTTGAACTGCTCCCAGGAAAGGAGATAAAGGATGGTGATCACCTGATCCATCTCTCAGTTTTATGGATCCAGATAAGGGGCTAATGCAGGATCAGGCCAAGTAGCTGCAGCTGTGGAATTAACTGCAGACAAATAACCGGCCTTAAGATGTACCACAGAACTGGTACCTCTTCCTCCAGCACAGAAGTGGGATTTTTTAGGCCAGATTAATGCAAAGATGCCATCAGACCATTACAAACTCACATATGAGTTGTATAACGCTTTGGGGACTGTTCACATCCTCTTCCCTAGCTGTGGACTAGTTGATTTTTATCCATCTCAGTTTACACACCCCACAGTTTTTTCTCTTTGCACGTGAATCCCGTCAGGTGCCCCTCCAAGAACTGCTCATTTTTAAATCGACACTTTCAAGGCTCCTTAAATGCCAACCCAACTGTGTGCAACTAAACTTGCTGCTGAGAGCTGCTCACTAACTGGCTGCCACTTCCCTCTCTCCTTCTCTCTTTGGGGGACAGAATTCCCATTTCCAACGGTGCCCCCCACTCTGCCCCCGCCAAGGACCAAGACCAAGACGGTGTCTGAGGGCAGGAACGTCACCTTCCGCTGTGGGCAGAAGATCATCCACAAAAAAGGCAAAGTTTAGTGAGTGCTCAGCCCTCCTTCCAGCCCTGGGGAGCTTGCACAGCTGATGGGAGGAGGGAGGGTGGCACAACAGGGGGATTGGGAGCGGAGTTTGCCATCTGGAGGGTGGCACTGGCTCCTTCCAGAGCAGGAAGAGGGGTGGGAAGGGAGAGGGGTTGATCATGGCATGGCAGAGCTTTCATTTAGCCCGAGAGCAGAGCTCTCAGAAACCAGCAGCAGTTCAAGAAGAGGGTAAAATCCAATGCTCATAGGGAGCACAAAGCTAATTCCTACCATCAAGCCAAATTCCTGACCCATATTCTGACCAAAAAAATAATAAAAAAGAAGTCTTAAATTTACCCTTTTAGTTCACAGTTATTTAAGCTGTTACTAAAATACAGGCACGTTATTGAAAGTTGAGAGATTGGCCCATGGGTTGGTTTAGATTGAGGACCCAAATTCCCAATAAATTCCAGTGAGATTCAAGCTCCAGAATTGCTCAGGATTGTGCCCTGTTACACCTGAAATACAGAGGAGAACTCAACCCATCTCTGTCCTACCCTTAAAAATCTATCAGGAGAAAGAACAACTAACACCTACACTGAACTGTGCCAGACCTCTGTGGTTTAATTATTTCTGCTGTGTTTTCTTCTGACAGCTGGTACAAAGATAAGGAGCTTCTGGAATACTCCTATCCAGGTTATTTATCCTTAAATGACGATCACATGAGCATCATTGCAAATGCAATTAATGAAGGGACTTACACTTGCATAGTGAAGAAAAAAGAAAGGATCCTGACTACTTATTCCTGGAGAATCCGACTGAAGCACTGACAAGGTCCTGGAATGAGCTCCTGCAGTTCCTGCTAGTCCTGTTTCAAATTGTTTCTCTGGCATTTTATATTTAATCTCCAGTAAGTGCCACTGAACTTCTCCATCAGCTGCTTCCTCCCCCTTGGGCAAAAGAGACTCTTGAGACTGGAATGTGAAACTCTTCCAAATTGGTTTTAATGACATGGAATTTATTGAGTATGTGCTGTACAGAGAATTAAAAAACCTTTTTTTTAATTTTTTTTAAAAAAAGAAAAGTGTCAGATGGTGCAGTTGAAGTGTGTGGATCCCCCTGAAGTGCTGGAAAACAGGAGCAGAACTGGATCAGCCCCTGGGATGGCTCAGCTGGGCTGCACTGGAGGCAGAGTGGGGAAGGAAAAAGCAGTTTGTGTTTCTGCCCTTGTTTTCGATCCTGCTACTCTGCAATAGAATTTACATACCAGTCTAAGCCCCACCATCCCAGCATTCCCAGGAATCCCCCACCAGCTTTCCCAGGGTCTGGATTTATTACTCTTATCCCGACAGGCACTGAGTGCTCAGAGCTTGGCCCTGAGCAGACCAGGTGATGTCCATCCCTGTCACCTCCAGGGAATCTCCTGGAATCAGGAATGTTTCAGTGCACAGAGCAGGGACAGAGCTGTTTCTCCTGCAGGAGAACAGGGCTCTGCATCCCTGCCCAAGGAAAACAACCCAGCTGCTTCCAAACCTCTCCCCATCACCAGCACCCCCACTCCAGCTCCAAGGCCTTTACCCAGAAAAACCCTTCCAAATGCACTGAAAGGGATGGAATGTTTATGATTTCCTTTAATCCTCTTCCTGGCCTGGTGCCCAGTTCTGACTGCAGGAAGATGTGGTGTTTTCCAAACCTCCCTTGTTAGAAATCAGCAGCTCCCAGGGGTGTGATATTCCAAGACAATCCTTCCTCTGCTCTTTCCTGAGAAAGGGCTGCACTGTGGCATTCCACAATCACTACACAGGCTCTTCTTTAGCTGGAAAAAGGGGCATATTAAAAAAAAATGCTCCCTTTTTGATTTATAAAACAATAGAGGAACTTCTTCTGCACCACTGGAAATACATGGACAGAACAAAGCAAAGTTTTCAGCTCAGCACTGCACCCCAAAAATCTGCTCAGGGAGTATCAAGCTCCCCCCAGGCTTCTTTTTTCTCAAAGGTAACAGGAAAGAAACCTCATAACTGGTACTTTTTTTCTACCCCAAAATATATTCAGACACAAACAATTTCCTTAAAATAAAAAATAAACTCTGTTTACTGTCACCAACATCCCAGCTTGCTGCAGGTGAAGCAATGAAATCCTTCACACTGTTAAACAATTGAAAATGTGTTTTAATTCTACAAATTTACAAGGAGAAAAAAAAACCAACAAAAACAACAAACCAAAACAAACCCAACAAAAAAAACAAAACAAAACTAAAAAGAAACCAGAAACTGTTCCAGGACTGTAGTTCAAGTTGTCCTTTGTCACAGTTTGTGATGATCCTGGGGTTTTCAGGTAACTCCAGTCCTCTCATGGAATGCAGCAGTTAAACTCCACATGGGTTTATGAAACAGAGCCTTGGAATCTGTGATAACCTTTGAGTTTTTCGCAGGGAAAAGGAAAAAAAAAAACCCATCTCGTCCCCCTGACACGAAGAACAGACCTGGGGGCACTCAAATCCACTGACATGAATGGTGCTTCTTTTTCTTTGTGGGGTTTTTTTTTCCTCCCTCCTCTCTCTTTCACCTTGAGTTTAAAACTTGAGGCTGAAGCCAGGTCCTGCAGCAGATGCTCCCTGGTTGGTGGTGGTCAGATGAAATCCTGTGTCCTTCAGATCATCATCACCCTGGGGAAAGCAAGCACAGGTGGCTGAGCAGGGGCTGTTTTACCTCTCCAGCACAAAAATCTCAACAAAAACCATAAAAAGTAAAGTATCTCTGAAAGAGAAATGAATGTTTGCTGGAGCAGCAGCACAGCTTGGGTTTTCCTGGTTGCTGTACCTGCTTTTGACTGCATGGGAAAGATAAAAAAGCTGGGAACTCGCTGTATAAATAAGTGTAAACTGCCCTCACTGAGCATCTGATCAAACACACGCTGTGTCTGCACCATGGCAGTTTTTATGCCCTGAAAAATCCAGAGCTAAATAAACTCTTTAGCTTTCTAAAACTGTTAAACTGGGCACAATATTGTCCAGTGCCACTTCAACTGTGCTGAGACCATGGAACTGGAATTAAGGCACCTGAGCCTCTGAACATGCCATGCTTATATGGGCAGATCAGCCCCATGGACACCCCAAAGGACAGCCAGAACACGAGCCTGGCCTTTTCTGAATTCCCCAAATATTGGAATAAACTGGGGATACTTCCATCCTCCAGACCTGTAAACTGCCCAGGCTGCAGACTTATTTCCAGAACAAATCTGAAGGCTTAGCTGGAAGTGTAAAACAAGGTACACTTTTAAAAGAGGGTGCTCTGCACGGGGTAAAACCAGGCCTGAGTGTGTCCTGACCACAGCAGGGTTTGCCCTTGGGGAAGGCCCGGAGGGAAAGCTGGACCTTCCCTGTCAGCAGAGGTGTCCCAGGCTGCCCCTGCCCCCAAACCCTGCCCAGCTGCCCCAGCACTCACCAGCTGGCTGTAGCCCAGCCCTCCCTCGGGGGGCCGGGGGCTCGTGCCCCTCTTCACGCGCTGCTGCTCGCTCTTGGCCGGCCAGGTGGGGAACATGGAGGGGTCGATGGGCAGGGGGGTCTCCCTGAAGTACTCGTGCTTGAGCCCGTCCTCTGCCGTGATCCTCCGAGCAGGGTAGTATGTCAGGAAGCTGGGAGAGTGGGAAATGGAGTTAAAAATTCACGGGAATGCGACTGAGAGTTTTCTGGTGTTCAAAACAGAGTCCTGGGACTGGGGATGGGGTATAATTCTATTAATTGGTTATAATTCTATGCCTGGGGATTGGGTATAATGCTATTAGTTGGGTATAATTCTATGCCTGGGGATTGGGTATAATGCTATTAGTTGGGTATAATTCTATGCCTGGGGATTGGGTATAATGCTATTAGTTGGGTATAATTCTATGCCTGGGGATTGGGTATAATGCTATTAGTTGGGTATAATTCTATGCCTTGGGATTGGGTTTCATTCTATGACTGGGTACCAGAACCTATGGATAGTGAGATAAAGCTCCAGAGGGATCCAGGATAGTTCCATTACAATGTTCTTTGCTGTTTAGAGGGATTTAAAAGGTTCTATCAGCACACCCCACACTGCTGCAGTGCAGTGTGAGAGCACAGCCTGGGGCTGGCTGTTGCCAACCCTTCACAAGCCAGGAAGAAGCTGCACTGCACTCACTTGTTCATGAGGTCGAAGCCCTGGTCGGAGAGCAGAGCCCCGAATCTCTTGCGCAGGTTGTTGTAGGGGTACTCTGTGAAGGTCATCTTCTTCACTGCTGGCAGCTCGTTGTACCCGGGCCAGATCTTCTCACTGGGAGTACCCAGATCCTGTAAAGGAAGGCATCTCCTTAATCAACTCAGGAGTGCAAGCCTTTACTTAGGAGCTGGGAAGTATCCAAAGAAAACAGACAACACACAGATCGTGGTCTCGGTCTACTCTGAGTAATTATTAAGGCTGAATCCCTGTCACAGACAACAAGCACTTTTACTTCCTTACTCTAAAACCAGTCAGAATCCAAAAAACATTACAAAAATTACCTTAAAAACTTTGTTAATCTGGTCAATCTCTGACTTGCCCGGGAACAGCGGCTTCTGTGTCAGCAGCTCCCCAAAGATACACCCCACTGACCACATGTCTATGGCCGTGGAATACTCCTGGAAAGAGAGAAAATCAAATTATGCCTTATAAAATCAGTGAGATACTGTCACTGAGTTGTTTGGAGGGAGGAGATCTTGTGGTTTGGGTTTTTTTGGTTTTTTTTAAGGGATTCTACACTCTGACCAGGACAAACACCAATCATTCCCACACCCAAGGCCCAGGTCTCAACTGTATTTATTTAAAAGCTGTAATTACTGTGAATTATGTACACAAATACTTCAGGATGGAAGGGGAAGGTCTCCACACTGATGCCTCTCTTTTCCACACACAAACAAAGCAGCACAGCTGATAAAGCAGGATTTTTTCTGGCATGGTTCTTGTCACTGAAGCCCTAAAGAACCCAACTGATTTCACCCAGATTTCACTTCCTCAGCAGGGAACACTGCCAGGACCTTGTTCTGCTCTCAGGTGTCACAAAAAAAAATTAAACCCCTATCTGTCACCCACCCTCTGTCTGGGGAAGATGGAAGGATTTTAGGAGGAATAATAGTGAATATTTAGAATTTCCAGCTCTGACTCCATACAAAGGACCAAGCATGCTCACACTTTGCTCATGATTTATAAAATACAGCCAGGCTGAAGGGCAGGAACCAACCTTGGCTCCAAGCAGCAGCTCTGGAGCCCTGTACCACAGAGTCACCACCACGGGGGTGTAGGGCTTCAGAGGAGACCCATATTCCCGGGCCAACCCGAAATCTCCAACCTAAAAGGAAAATAAATGGCATTTAGAAACATTTCCAGCACTGGTCATTCACTGTGGGTGCCTTTTGGGCCACTGTGTGGCTTCACCCTTCAGAAACAGCCACACACAGAGTTCTCAGCTCTGGACACAGCTATGACACTGTAATTGTGCAGCACAGACTCTTCCCTGAGTGTGGTGTTTCCCATGTAACTCTTACTTTTAGGATGCCTGAATGACTGAGCAGCAGGTTGGAGGTTTTCAGGTCTCTGTGCAGGATCCAGTTGTCATGGAGGTGTTTGACCCCTCGCAGTAACTGGATCATCAAGGTTTTCACTTCACCTGGGATGGTAAGAAGAAGCCAAATGCATTTATGAGAATAAATCTACCTTCAATTTTTGTTTCACCTGGAGGGCAGGGAAGGGGGCAGGAAGGGGGGGCCAAGTTAAAAGCACAGTGTAACTTGCACAATCAAAATATGTCACAGAACAGAGCTGCCAATGAGGCAAAATTCATTTGGGTAGCTGGAATGCACCCAAATTATGCTCAGAAATTATTGCCTCTCACAGGAAGCAGCCACAATTTAAGCCCAGTGTTCCTTTTTTTCAGTGTAGCACAGAGGAAATTCCCTCAGTTCCACCTCTGAACACCTCCATCCCCACACACACACACACACTGGATTCCTCAGCCTCACAAGCATCAGCACTCCCAGCCACCCTCCAATCTTAATTTGTGTCAGTTTTTGCAGCACTGGGACTGTGGCAACCAGTACCTGGCAGAAATGGCTGTTTCATTGTTTCCATCAGGCTCTTGAGGTCGTGCTCCACGTAGTTCATGACAATATAGATTTTATCCATGTTACTGCCCACAACAATTTCCTGCAACACAGAAACAGACCATCAAAACCAGCACGTGGTGTTTAAAAAGCACCCAGAAATCAGTGTTCCAAATTGATCCTGGCAAGAGGGTGGAGGCTGCCATTGGTAAAATCCACTGAAAATGTACTCTTCTATTAAAAAAAAAACCATCTCATCTTTGCAAAACATCAGGTTATGGAGACAGTAATGCCTACACAGTCTTATGAGGAGCACACAGCTGCCCACAAGCTCTGCAAGGACTGCTAACATCTTACAAGGCATTTAAAAGTTAACATCTTCTAAGGCATTTTAAAAGCATTTAAAAGGCAGTATTTCAGGAACAGAACCACTTCTGACACAGAAGATTGTAGCCTTACTCTGACAGTGACAATGTTCAGGTGCTGTGCTTTCAGAATAGTGTTTATTTCCCTCAGAGAAGTAATGGGAAAGCCTTCCTTCTCCTTTTCCATCTTCAGCCGCTTCAGAGCCACAATTTCATCTGCCAAGAGAACACAGTTCCCATCACACAGCCAATAAATACACACCAAGGGGTCTCCCAGTGTTCTGCCACTGATTTGTTTAATATTTCCTTTACTGGGATATGTTCTGCCTTGACAATGACCTGCTTGCTGGTAAAGCAGCACTTTAAACAGATTTTGTTCCCCAGTGGAAAATGCAGAACCACAATTTGCACACGAGGGCAGCCTGAAGGGAACAGGAACAGGAGAGCACTGATACCAACCAGTCTTCTTGTCCTTTGCTCTGTACACCACCCCATACGTTCCTTCCTCAATCCTGTTCAAACACTGGAATTCCTCCACGCTGCGACAGCCCTGAGAAAACACAGGACAACGTTTACCCCTCCAGCATCTGGGGAGGGGTTTGCTTGGTGTTTTTTTAAAAGACATACAGCAAACTTCAGCAGGAATAGCTAAAATTTACCAAGAGAATGAATTCATCATTATGGCTACACCATTTTGGGGGGTTATTTTTTTACAGGATTTCTAAAGGAATCTTGGGCAGAGCCTGTGTTTCAGTAGACCTGTTTTCAGGTAGCAATACCAGAGCATCAGTTGTATTATGACATTCTTATCCACACTGAAATTCTTATCCACATTCCCTACCTGAAGTGCAGGGAGGTACTTGGGAAGCTCCTGCTTCAGTTCAATGGGAGAGGAAGCTGGGGAGTCAGGAATGTAGTCCCCTTCTGTCATGGCATTGGAATGAGGGGATCCCTCCCCGACCTCCTCCTCCTCCACTTCGCTTCCCGCCGAATCCCGGTCAAACCTCGACTCTGCAACTTTAAAAGTCAGAATCAGTGGTGGAAAGAGGAGCTGTCTGGAACAATGACACTCAGGCTTAGCCAAACGAGGGCAGTCCAGACACTGATCACTGTGGAGAAGCCCAATCTCTCCTCTTTGCAGAGGTGATGCTTTCAAGGACTCATTTACAGCCATGGGCACACGATTTCCACTGTCAGAAAAATAAACCTTTCCACTGGAAGGAAAGAGAAAACTGAGACAGGGTAGCTCATTCTGATTTTTGGTGAGGGGACAGGGCAAGAGACCCCAAATGAAAAAGGAAACATTAGCTCATTAGACAAGGACCTGATTGCCTCTGAGCCTTGGAACAGATCTCAAGGAATTTCTGCTTCTGACACGAGAACGGCCTTAAAATGCCAAGTATATGAGGCTTTAGACTGGTGGCAAAACTGCAACCAGAAGTACATTGAAAATATTGAAAATACTTGTAGCAATAGACTGATTTGGCTGCACAAACAGCCAGGATTTGCACTGTACCAACTGGGATGTGGTTGCCGTTCTCCCGCTCCTCCTCTTCACTCATCTCCTCTTCGCTCACCTCTTCTGCAAAACAGAACCGGGGTCAGCTGAGCCCACCCCACATTTCTGCAGCTCCCTGGGAGGCAAAATCACTGCTGAGATGCCTTTCTGCCTCACCTCTGCCCTGTCTGTCAGTGGCCAAGCCCTCCTGCTTCTCTTGGAAAGCAAATGCTTCCCAGAGGGAACACAATTCTTACCAATTATCTGGGCATTTGGGGATGGGGGCAGGTGAACAAATTAAGTCAGGGAATTATGAATATTTGCTTATTAATTGTAAGTGATTTTAAAGAAAAACACCCAGCCTGATTGTGCCTTTTCTTTACTCAGACTAGAATGCCTGTATGCAGACTTCTTTACTGAATTTTCCTTATTATGTTCATTTACTTGTACTGGGATGAAAAAAAAATAAATCTGAAATTTGCAACTGAAAATAATTCAAAATCACAGAGACATTTGTATTTCACCACCCCCCATAGAAGTGCAGAACTGTTCTCTGCAGAATATTTGATGTGTTAGAAGAACACTTAATCTGTGGGCCTTACACCAGTTAGGGAGACAAAAACAGCTTTCAGGTTTCTGATCTGGCTTCTTAGATGAAGAGTTGGTATTACCTCTACACAAAGGGATAGAAAATGACTTGTACTTGGTTTTTTTCTTTCTAGTTATCTTGACCTGTGAGGTCTCAGCCTACCCTAGACTAAGAGAAAAGGAAAATGTTCAAATAAAACAGCACAGAACGAGAAACAAAGAAAGTCATCACAGCCCCTGGAGGGCCCTGCTTTGTGCTGCTCACCTGCTGATTGCTCAGACACCTCCTCAGAGTTGCTGCCTGTCTCCTCCTCCTCCTCCTCCTCCTCCTCTCCTTCCTCCTCAGAACCTTCACTGCTGGACTCTTCTTCCTCCTCTTCTGAGCCTGACCCTGATTCTGCCCAGGAAGAATCAAACACAGAACTCAGCAGGGACACACCCACAACAGGGTTTCCTCAGCAGAGAAATTAATCACACCGGTACAATTAATTACATCGACTAAGCTGCATTTAATCACCTGAGGAAGACTCTGCTGAGCTGGTTTTTCTCTCACTGTCACTGATGTCTTGCAAGTCAGAAAGAGGATCCCTCTCTTCTGGTTTCTCTTCTTTCACTGCTGAAACCACAAAAATTAAGAAGAGGGTGCTGACTGAGCATCACTTCAACACTGGATACCCAGGTAAGTGCTGCACTTTCAGCTGGCATTAAATCAGCGCTGAACATTCTGTACTGGAAATCCAGAGCACTCAAAACAAAATCATTCCACGCTCTGCTCAATGACAAACAGCTTTTCTGAACTGCAGTGGTGCAGGATCAGCTGCCAAAAAATATGGAATATTGGCCTTTTGGGTTTTAGACATGATATAAACCTGAAATTAATTAAAAAAAAAAAGGGGGGAAGTACCCTGGTAACAAGGACAGTCTCCCTAATGTGTGTCCAGATGTGGGTACTGTCAGGGCTCACTATCCAGTGCAGACTCTCTGATCACCATGCAATAGCACATGTCAATCACTGAGGGTTGATTAGGCAGGAGTTTCCAAGGACTTGCTGCCTCCACCCAGAATTCCCACTGATCCCATTCTGCAATCAGCTTGCTTGGAATGGACACACTTATTTTCACAGCTGCACACGTTAACAGGGCAGACACAGAGCTTTTCTTCTTCAGACAAAGACATTTTTATGTCAATTGTGCAAATTTTCTACCCCCAGTCAGAACCTTCCAGGCACAGGCAGGACCATTTTCTGACTCAGAAATCAAAATTCCCCATCTAACCAGAACACTGCCTTCAGCATTTATTTGCTTCTGCAAGGTGACAATATCAGTGATGCTTAAACCACACTGACCCCTGTAAGGTAAGTTGTTAAGGTAGCTTAGCTCCTAACAAAACAAATCCACCCTTTTTCATCTGCCAGGGAATTAAACTACCAGATTTTAAAAATTCAGTCAGCTGCTTCTTTCACCACTGAGCGAAGTCACTCACTTGGAAACTTTTTAAACTACTCCTCCTCCTACTGAAAAGAGGAAAGGTTCATCCCATTTGTCACTTGGCACAATCCCTGCCAAACCAGCGTTGCTTCAGAAACCGGTCCAAGTGTTTATGAGTATTCCAGGGTCGTGCCCCCGTGGCTGGGGTGGGGTTTCCACTGAGTACCTGGGATATATGTTTGACTCTAAAAGTTAAGCTCTACCCCAGCCCAGCTCCTGCTGCCCCCAAGGCACAGACAGTGTAGAGTGGCAGGTTCTACCTGGTTTCCTGCTCTCTCCTTGCTCAAGCTTCTCTCTCTGCTGGCGTAAAGGGCTGCGACTCCAGGGTCTCATTTTTACTTTGTCTCCATATTCTTCCCTCACTGTTCTATGGTGAGCAGAAACTAGGGGAAAACAAAACCACAAGAAATCGTTACACCTCCCTGCCCTGGCCACAGCAGTCCTGTCTGCCACAGCCACCTGCTTGGAATGCTTTCCATTTTCCCTTACAAACTAAAGGGTCACAGGGAGGAGGGGAGCTCAACTGTATGTGGGAGAATAAAGGACTGGGATTTACCTCCAATAAAATGTGGCTTTGTGCTACTTGGAGAAAGCTGCTTGGGAAACAGAAGCAAGATGCCCTGTTATGGTGCCCAGTAAACACCCTGGCACTAAAGCATCAATGCCAGAGAAAGAAGTGGAAGATTTGCAAGAGAATGAAACCAGCTGAGGTTTAGAAGGAGCTGACAGAACATTTAGAGCGATAAAACCAATTAAATGAAAGGCTACACGGATTGAGCGCTACCAGCATAAAGCCAAGCACAAAAAGGAGCTGTTTGGTATGAGCTGAGCCAGAAAGCAAAGCAAAAATGGGTTTTTTAATGCTGCTCTTGGACAATCTTTGCCACTTGGTTGCAGGAATAGGCTCTGATTTTTACCTCTGAAAGCTGAGACAAAAATGGTCTGAAGTTAAGGCTGCAAGCCCCTGACATGCCGAGCAAAGTGAGGTTCATGAGCAGAAGTTCAGCTGCTCAGCTAGCACACCTTCCCCACCTGACTCCCACCACCACATCTCCCATGGCTGAAATACTGACACCACCTCTCCCTCCCTTTGTCATTCAATTCCCCAAAGCCTCAAAACACTGAATTCTGAGGTTTCAATCTCTGTCAAACTGGGTTTGATGGATACACACAGGGACACAGTGTGTGCATCCACAGTGTGTGTATCCAAGATTTCACTGACAGGAATCTTGTTCCTATGGGAAACCAGAGTGACAGAGAGGCAAAGACTAATCAACCTGCCAGGATATTTAAGGCAATAACTTTATAACCTTGTTTTATCTCCCCATGTAGAGCCTGCACTTCCTTTTCCCTCCCATGTAAAAGGCCTCACTTTATATTTTTTTAAAAATTCTGGCATTGCCCTAAGTGAAAAGGAGGTTTTCTACCCCTCCATTCCCCCACCGTGTCAGCAGGCAGTAAAGGGACAGTGAGCAGGAAGAACATTTCTGCAGAGCCAGTCACCTTCTCTCCTGGCTTCCCGCTCCTTCCGCCTTTCCTCCGCTCGCCTCTCCCGCTCCTTCTGCTCCCGCTGTTCCTTCTGCTGCTCCCGGATTTTCCTCTCTCTTTCTCTCTCCAGTTGCTCCAGACGATCTCTGGAAAATAATGACCCTTTGTTATGAACTCAGCCCACGAAGGGAGGGAAGGCTGGTTTGCTGCAACAGACCCCTGAGCTCAGCTTCACAATCAACACCACCACTTGTGTACTGGGCAAAAGAAAAAAGATGGAGCTTCTCTGCTGATCCTTTAAAAAACGTGTTTTAAAGACCATGAGTTCTGCACCCCTATCAGGATTTCAACAGAAATTAAACATGTTCAGGTCATTAATCCCCTAATGTGCAAATCCAGTTTGCACCTTTTATTTTTCCCCCACAGAATAATTTAGGTTGGAAAAGACCTCCAAGAGCATCAAGGCCGACCTTACAATTACAGTGAAACCCCAGCAGTGAATTCACCTCGGAATGGCCCTTGCAGTGAAGCACTTAAGAGGCAATGAAAGCCAAGAACCCATCCCACTGACACCACATTCCCAGGAATACAGCCCTGGCACCAGGTAAGTTCTCCCTGTGGATTTTTGTGTCCCTTCAGAGCAATGGCTGGAGCTGGGTTAGAGGAGGCAGCTGTTGGTGTCTGTGCTGGGTGGCCCCAGGGGAGGCAGGGATAGCTGTACCTCTCCCTCCTGGAATGCTCCCTTGCCATCTCTCTCCGTTTCTGTCTCTCCCATTCACGCCGGGCTTTATCCTGCTCTTCTCTATGTCTCTTCCTACGCTCATGCTCCCGTTCTTTCTCTTTCACTCTGGCATGTTTCCCTAAACAAACAAAAGTGAATTGTGGAGTGTTACTAAGTCAGAGTAGGCAGTGCTCCCATTTTCACCAAGCACAACTAGAGAGGGTGAGACCTCTGGGAACCTATTTCCATGTTCTCTGGTGTTTTCTCAAGGGGAAAATCCTGTTCTGGAAGGGGCTTGGAGAATCCAAACATTAGAAGATCTTGCACAAATACTTGCATTAAAGTAGAAAATGGCTGTTAGTAGCAGGAAGACAACATGAATGTTTCTAGAAAGGGTATGTTTTTCCTTTGCAGACAGGTACAAAGATCAGAGCTCAGTGAAGCCAGGAGGAAGCTCATCAGACTGGAAGGAGTAAAAGTGAACTCAGTGTCCCTGTTCCAAAGTGATTCCTGTCCTCTCAACCACCGTTACACCCCTGTCATTGCCTAAGGGCACTAAACACAGGCGAAGAAATAATAAAAGTTTAAATTCCTTTGTCTTATCCACCTTTCTTTAGTCTGTACTTATTTACTCTACATGGGGCCCATCTGGCTTCCCCTTGGGAAACTCCCAGAAACCAGAAGCTTCCAAGTGCAGCAACAATCACCTTCTGCAGAGTGACTTCGGTGCCTGCGCTTCTCTTTCCTCTTCTCATCTTTCCTATGGTGGGTTTTTTCTTTCCGGGACATTTGCTGGGGTGGTTTTATAGCCAAGGAATCATCTTCTTCTCCCCTAAAACACAGCATATGAATAAACTCAGGGAGGTGACAGGTCCTGTCAGACTGTGAGTTATTTCCTCTTTTCCCTGTGTGGAAAAGATCCCTGTTTTTATTATTTTATATTCAAGTTGATTTCCATAACAGCCCTGAACAAAAACTGGAACACAACACACGGTTACGCCTTAACCACTGCTCCAAAAAGTTACCCTCAGAAAGCTACCCAGGTGATTTTCTCATCCTTACCTGTCTTCCATGGAGTCTTCCCTCCTGTAAGGTGAGTTTCTGATGGTTATTTCCATGCGATGGTCTCTCAGCTCCCCCTCTTCAAGAGAATCCCGCTTGGAATCCCTGTCATCTGACTGATGGCGACACAGGCGAGGGATGAAAAAAAATTCAAATATTACTTAAGTCTTCCACTGCTGGTCACCCCCACTCATCTACAAACCACATTCATGCTGTAACCAGGCAGAATTATTTTAACCCCATCCTTCTATGCTTTTCTATACTCTTCTATTCTTTGAAAGGCTGTTCCTTGAACTGCAGCTTCCAGTTAATCACATCAACTTATTTACCTTTTCTGACCAAATTTTCTGACCAAAAGCTAAGAGCAAAGCACAGTATAAAATGAAAGGCCAATGAAAATGCAGTTTTCCATGAATACAGGCACCGGTTCTTACATTTTTCATACGTTTTATCTCTGCCTTCTCCTCTTGCTCCTTCCTTCGCTTCTTCTCCTGGAGAATTTCATCTAAAGTTTTCACTTTCCAAGAATCCTTTTCATCACCCATTTGAGTTAAAAAAACAAAGTCTGAAAAAGAAGGAGACGTCAACAAAAGCCCCGCAAACCACACAGCCCAGCACAGATAAATCTGGTTTACACTGATGTGCCAGTGGACACAAAGAAAGCATAATTTATGGGACAGAACTGCCAAGATAACAAAAAAATAACAAACCCAACTCGGCAGCTGGGTTGAAATCAGCTCTGAGGGGGTAAAAAGTAGTAAAAATAACAGGTAATTCTAATTCACCAGGGGGGAAAGTGACCACCAAGTCAGAGACCACCGACCCAAAACAGAGACTGAACATGGCAATAATCAGCACGAGAAGTGACAGAATCATCAACCAGCACATGAGAGAACACTAATTTACAAGAGAGCTATGCGACTTATCGCAAATGAACGCTAATTCCTCTGGTTGCTAAGATGTCTAAACAGCACAAGTTGTGGTAGTTGTGGGGCTCGGAAATAAATAATCAATGTGCCAATCGAGCGTGTCGCGACTGGCCTGTTTTAGAGCGGGGAACGGACCCGATTTTCGTGGAAAACACCTCAAAATAAACACCTCCCCGGGAGGGTTCAGGGCCGGGGCCGGGGGGGCCCAAGAGGCCCTCACGGAGCGGTGTCACCCGCGCTGTCACCGCTGCCCGCTCCCCCTCAGCCCCCCCGGTGCCCCCCCTCAGCCCCACAGAGCCCCCAGACCCTCCCGTGTCCCCCCCTGTCCCCGCAGGGTCCCCTCAGGGCCCCCCAGCCCCACTCACCGCCGCCGCCACCGGGCCCTGCCACCAGCGCGGCTCCAACGCGTCACTTCCGCGGCGGGCGCGGCGATGACGCCGGGGAAGTAATTAAAAAAAAAAAAAAAAAAATCGCTAATGAGCCGTTGATTGAGCGGTTCGTTCGGCGGCGGCGCGGCGGGTTAACTGCCCGGCTCTGGCCGTGCGGCCCTGGGTGTAAACCCGGCACACAGAGGTGGGAGTGCAGCCGTCACCGCAGGCGTTAATTAATTAATTAACGCATAAACCGGTTAAATTCCCGCTGTCCGGTCGAATAAAGAGCGATATTCAAACAAGTCACATGAGGGGAACGGCCAGTACAGCAATGTCGATGCAGCGTGAGGGAGAACCGACCTGAACTGAGCGGTTCTGAATAGGGGGGGCTCATGAGGGGAACGGGCTGAAGGCAGCGCAGGAAAACTCATTAAATGCTTAATTATCCATCCCATCTTCGGCTGGGAAACGGTGACACTGGGGACACAGCGACACCTCACACTTGCACCTCTGTGTCCCTCAGCAATGCCCGAGGAATTCACATCTTAAGGAATTCACATCTTAAGGAATTCACATTCAAGGTGCTGTTCCTCTGTATTTGACAGAAGTAAAGCAAATAACCCTCACAGCTCCAGCTCCTCCTCATCAATACCTGACTGTGGCTGTGGGAAACGAAGTGAAAGAAACTCTAAATATGTCCCGAAAGAGGATTTTCTGGCAGAAACGGAACCGCTGCCATCACAAACTGGGGCGCGACACTTGCCGTGAATTCTTCCCAGAGAGGAAAACGCTCCTTGTTTGCACAGCAGCAAAGGAGATTTACTGGTACTGCCGGAGAAGGGAAAGGTCTTCAAAGCGGGCACTCAAGAGCTGGGTTTGTTTGATCTCATAAAAACAGAGGGCGAGGAGAGGGCACAGAAAAGCACCCAAGGTCAACAAGCGCCGAGGAGAACAGGATGGTTGTGCTGCCACAGGGCAGGTGGGGCTCCACTCAGGCCCTGAAATGACAACTTCCAAAATCCTCCCACTCAAACAAAATACGATGCAAACCATACTTTTTTTTCTCCTTTTTTTTTCCTTTCTTTTTTTTTTCTTTTGGAGCTATACTTTCAAAAATCTCGGTGTACTTGGCAGAAAACAAACAAAAAAACCCCACCCCACAGAGCTCCACGGCACAGTCCACAGCTTTTATAAAAGTGACAAAGAGTACAAAAGAAACAAAATACCACAGACACATCACATACAGAATGAGGAAAAACTGGCATTTTCAGGGGATATATGCCCCAGTCAGCAGGTGTGGGAATGCAAACTGAAGTGAGCATGGGACAAAACCAGCTCAAACTCCTGAAACAGCGACAGCTGCTCCAGAGAGGCTCTTGGACACATCTTTTCCACATTCACTGGAATTCCTCACAAGTGGGAATGTAACCATGAGCCTAAATTTCACAGGAACTCTACTGGAAAACTTCCTATTAGCGATTATTTTTTACCATAACCACCACTATATCCATGCTACAGTCTTCCAGAAGAGGGGCAATTATTAAAATCAGCTCATTTGAACTGTTAATTATGTTCCCAAAAAGTCCATTTGAATGCTTTTGTAGCTACTTGTGCTTTTTTTTGCCAAAACTAATCACTAGTCTTGAGAATTTTGAAAAGGAAAGTTAACATTCAATCTTTGATCTACCACAAAACGGAGTTTCCTTAAAAAAAAACAATTAAGAGCAGCAGAAATAAAGATTTGCCTCAGTTTGTGGTTAATGTTCCTCCCTTCAGTGACCTCTGCTCCATCTGTCACAGATACCTCAGATTATTTACATAATCAGAAATTACACAAATACTTTACACACAGGTCAGAATCATAACCCTGAGTTTCTAAAAGGCAGCATTTTGTTGCACTCTTAGAAATAATACAAAAAAAACCCATCCATTTGTTTCCTCACAACAGAAATGCATGACAAAATGCGAGAAATTAAAATGGTTTCTTAGAGAAATACGGAGCTCCCGCTTCCTTTGTCACCGAAGTTTTCAGTGTTTTTTACCTCTAAGCAACTGCAAGTATTTAATTCACCGCTCCACGTATGTGCATGTGCGTGAATACTTGCACTTCAGCTTTGTCAACGCATGATCAGAACGAAATTTTAGGAGAAAAATCGGTTTCCATCTGCGGATTTGTAGTTGGAAACAGCTGCTCGCCACTGCTCTGAGGCACAGACTCACTCCAACCACACAGACACCACAGTGAGTTGTTTGTGGGGAGAGAAGGGGATTCCCCCTTGGAATCACAGAATATCCTGAGCTGCAAAGGACCATCAGTCCAACTGCTGGCCCTGCACAGGACACCCCAAAAGCCCCCCCTGTCCCTGAGGGCGTTGTCCTAACTCTCCTCGAGCTCTGGCAGGTTTCGGTGCCCCAAAATGCAGGAAATGGGGAGTACCAACCGGGAATTTCAGTTCTGCCCCAACTCCATCCCAGTGCCCACGTTTTCACATTCCTCTGATGGGGAGGGAGGCAGGAATTGCTTTCCCACGAGCCACTGAAGTTCTTTCACCAGTACAGGCTCATTTGTTATCTGCAGTGGAGGAAAGACACCAAAGCCCACATGTAGGGCTGGTGGGGTATCAGTTTCTCAGTACATCCTTCCCAGGTCCTTCCTGCTGAAGGTCCCAGGAGCAAGGGATCAAGGCTGGCTGGATCCTTCCAGGATTCTCCAAGGACCCCAACGGCATCAGCAGCTGGAAGAACAAGCCCTTTCAGGACGAGTCCCTCTGAGTTATGCTCAGGTGGAAGAACAAGTGGCCATATTAATCGTAGGGCTCCAAATCCTTGGGAATCAGCGGCTCCGTGTCCTCTGAGGGAGCCTGTGTGGGCTGGGGGGGGCTGGCCAGGCTGTGCAGGGTCTCCTGCTGGTGCTGCTTGGCCTTGTTGTAGAGCAGGACCCCGATGGTCACCAGGACAGTGCCGATGGCCGAGAGGCTGGTGATCTTGTTCCCGAACACGATGATGCTGAGCCAGATGGACAGGGCGTGTTTCACAGTGCTGGCCACGCTGCAAGGCAATGGAAAAACACCTCTGTCACATCCCACACGCCACCTCTGTTCTCCTTCCTTTCCAAACACCAACTCAATCTCCACTTCCAACCCCAACCCTTCCATGATTTACCTCCTTCAGCTCTCTGCACACCCTTTACTGCCCAGTCCTCAAGCAGAAATGCTGAGCGAGGAACAAAAGGATGTGAGATGGTGCTCCTGGAAGTTTTACCTGAAAGTCACAGGAGAAATCTTTCCCATCAAGGCATAGGCTGTAACACTCTGGAGGTGGAACAAGACTCCATCTATTAATAGAAGTATGATGATATCCTGGTTGTAGCTGAAGCTTCTCCCACTTTTCCCAATCACAGGCACATCCTAAACAGCAAAAAAAAAAAAAAAAGAGAAATTTTAGAGTTTAGTTTATAAGCAAATCTAAAAGTGATTTTCCACCCAACTCACTCCTATTAGAAGCATTTATAGTTTTCCATTTAAACTGCAGCAAAACAAAACCTAAAACATACAAGACAGTTAGATAATATAAATTTTCCCCAAAAAATATATCAGAAAACCAGCTCTCATCTGACTGAACTTCCCAGTGTGCTCAGCCTGTTTGCTTTTTTGAACACTGATGCACAACAATGAAATGCCACAGTTTACAGGCTACATATTTAACCTGCTGTATTACACTCACTTCAGCTTAATTTTGTTTTCAAAGAGTTAATGTTCCTGTACACCACGTGAACATCAACAAAAAGCCAGCAAATACGTAAGATTTGGTTTTCAAGCCTTTATCTAAAACTTCAAATGCACTTGGACAACATTTGTCTCAAAAATCCTGAGATAAACCTCAGGCATTTTGGATCAATTCATGCCTTGTATTACATTATTTGTTGAAAATCTTCTCTTTTTTACTCCCCTCCCCCCCATCTCTTGCAAAATGTGAATTCAAATTACCATGAAAAAGATCCAAGCTGGAATAAGCATAACCACTGCAGCAGCACTTGTGTAGAACTGAAGCTCTGGGGCTCTACAGAGGAGGAAAAACGCTGATTAAAATGATGAAAAGCTTCCTTTTTCAAAGCAAAGCCTTTTGTGCTGGCTGAGAGGGACTGAAAGGCACATATTTTCAAGACCAACACCTGCATTTTATCCCGTGGTAAAATACATATATATTGCTAAAAACAATTGCTAATTTGTTTTTTTAGCATTTCACTCCTGGTTTATGTATTGTAGCTAAAACATCAGCCCAAATCCCACCCATAATCAAAACTAAAATATTCTTAATACTTACGAAAATCTGTATTTGTCCCCGCTGAGTAGTTTTTTGGAAAAGACATTCTGCAAACTAGAAAAAAAAAAGGTGAAAAAAAATCACCATTTACCTGGATTTCAGTTAGGGAAAAAAAAAATCAGTCAATCCACGAGAATCACAGCTGTTTCCTTCAGGTGGGGAAATGCATAAGGAAAATCCCTTCACTCCACACAGAGCTCTCCTCATCCCTTACCAGTCCATGATGTTGGTGGATAAAGCTGCTGAGAAGCCCAGGATGTTGAAGCTGATTTCTGTAGCTGTGCACAGAGCCAGCCCTCCCATCACAGGGATGAGGGACAGATTCACCAGCAATCCTGCAGAGGAGGAGGGGAAAGCTCAGCTTAATTCCTGCATTTCCAGCAGGATCACTGTCTTTATTGGCATTGTATATTGTTTTTATAAGGAGGAACACGCTGAACTCCAGTTATAAGGCCACAATAATATTTTCCTGACACTGCATTAAAATAACCCCTTTTTTTATTTTTATTTTTATTTTTATATTCTCTATTTATTGAGCTCAGAATGACTCCTCCAGCTGCATTCCTTATATTCTGCAGGGCTTTCCTTCCCCAAGGCCAGCCAGGTAACTATTACCCCAAAAACATCCAAGTAACCAAACCCCATTTGAGCACTGCTCACCAGTGTATTCCCCCAGAATCATCCGAGACATGATGACAGTGAAAATGGGAGCAGAGCTTTTCACCGTTTCTGCGAAGGAAACTGCCACGTTCTTCAGGCTCACCAGGCCCAGCACCACTGTTGCAAATCTGCAGCAGAAATGAAGAGGAAAAAAAAACTTTCTGTGCATCCAGCACGGAAAGAATTGCACTGTAACTCCAAAGTTTTCAATGGGGCTCAGTAGAAAAAGTAAAAATCCGCTGATAAACAGTAATTCACTGTGGAAATTTTATCTGCAGTCATCCATCTGTAGTGTAAATTAGATATGCTACCTATTTACCACAGTTTAAATCATTAAATTAATCTTAATTTATCGCCTATTTGATTATTTTTTATCAGTTTTGCGGTGTAAAGGAAACAAAATCATTTATTCTTATTCTCTCCTAGACCACAAAGTGATACTACCCCAGCACACAGCAAATATTGACTCTTTGAAAGATAAATATTAATAGCCTGGATCACTTTTGAGGCAAAAGGCTGGTAAATACCAGTGCACTAAACAAACATCAGCCTCAAAAGAGAAGGGGAAGAAAGTAAAGAGAAGTGTGTTCTGAAAGAAGGTAAGTGTGGTGGGAAGCCAAGGTAGCCAAAAAGGTGATTTTTGTGGGTGGAGGGAAAGGTGAATTCTCCAAACACTTTTTAATCAAGAATAAAAAGGCAGAGAGCCACGAAAATACAGCTCCTGTTAAAAAAAAAAAAAACAACACAAATATTAGTACAGGAAATCTTAGCAAATACAGCCCAGGAAATATTTCCCCATTTACCTCATCAATCCAACAAAGAGCATTATCATGATGAAATTGGGGGGGTAAGAGATGCGGGTTTTGTGCTGGTACAAACAGCAGGGAACAAACATCTTTATACAGCCAATGAAGGTGGTTGAAAGCATCTGAACAGCACCTGGAGAGGATGAGAGGGGGAAGAAAATCAGTCAGAAGGGGCTGGAACACGACAAATCAAGCAACCTCAGAACATTTCTTAGACAAACTCCTGTAGTGCTTTTATCCATGACCAGAGTCTCACCTTCCAGCACCTGGAGAAAAGGACGGTGTCAGGAAGCCCTTTAAAGGCCAAAATCACAGCTCAGAGTTCCCAGCCCCAGGACCCCTCCCCACACCTCCCAGCCAGGCCTTTTTCATTCACCTGAACCCTTCTGTCCCTCAACTTTATCCTGTCAAATCACAGAATATCCTGAGTGGGAAGGGACCCACGAGGATCACTGAGTCCAGCTCCTAGCCCTGCCCAGAATCCCAGCAATCCCACCCCGTGCCTGCTCCAGTAAAATAAATCTTAGATCAAAGTCTTCCTGGCATTCCAGTGCAAAGCAAAGGGGTACCTAACATGCTGGGCTCTCCTTCCAGCAGGGAAAGGATGTATTTGTTAAGAAAAAGAGTGCAAAAGCTAAAGAAGAACCACAAGGTGAGGTAGATGAGAGCGTGGGAGTTCCAGATGCCCAGGTCGGACTCGATGACCGTGGTCTCCGTGATGGTGATCTTGAGGACGTTCTCCTCTGGCACGCTGTCACTGCGAGCTATCACCAGCTTCTCACTCCTGTGAGCAAAGAGGGAGCCCAGCTGGAACAGGGATTTCCCCTTTGGCTTTTCTTCCAGGGGGGAAGGACTCGGTGGCTCCGGAGCCTGAGCGCTCGCCGCGGTCGACATGGTGGCGTTAAGGACCGGCTGTTTGTCCCCAGCACAAACCAACGCTGGCTTAGCACAGCACCTGACTTCCCAAAAAATATCACGTGGTCAAGGCTTCATCTCCCAGGGCCTGCTGGAAAGCTGCACTTGGTCCTCCAAAGAACATCTTTGCATAAAAATGAACTCCACGTGCTTCTTCATGTGGCCTGTTCCAGGTTTTCTGCCTGAGAGGGAGAGGAGGAAACAACAAGGATGCTCTGAATGGCATTTTAGATCCCTAGAGCAGCAAAGATATCACATTTCTCCTGCACTTTGTCGAGGATAAACAGACCTGTGTAGTCTTTCCAGGCTGGATTTTTAACTCCTCATGTCATGACATCAAGATTAGGCACCAAGAATTTACCTAAGGGAAGGGTTTTTTAATTTTAAAACAGCACGTGTGCACACACAACAGGCTTTATGTGGCTTTGAGTTCTTTCTCCTCTGAAGCACATCAACACAGCCTTTCCACTTGTAACTGCCTCCTCTCCCAGATTCTCCAGTGTCTCTGATCTCAGTCTAAGGTCTGTGAATTTATCCCTTTTATTTCTGCAGCCTTTGTCTTACAAGTGAGTGAAAATGGGATGAATCAGATGCAGATGAATTGAGGGACTGGAGCTCTTTTGTTCCTCGGTGAACAAGCACTCGGGGAAATTACATTTTAAATGCTTGTCTCCAGAAGCACATTTGGTGGACAGACAAGACAATGGGCCTTAAAAAGGGATCCTTGTGGGGGGAGTTAATCACTGGACATCTTGGAAAAGCCATCTGAAATGAGATCATAACACTACAGTGCATCAAACAACAGCAGCACAACCAGCATTTGATGCCAAGAGAAATACAAGAGTTGTCCCAAGAGCTGCTGCACCTGCCCTGATTTTGGGAGCATGTGAACACACATTATTTTCTTCAGGTCTTTTTTTTTGCCCAATGTGGCATCTCAAGTAAATCATAAAGAGGTACTAAAGAGTTAAAGATCTCCTGCCAGTCTCGATATCCTACAGAGCAGCTGCTTTACAGGGAAATTTTCCATCCCTCACGTTCTCTGGTTCTGCTGTTACAGCCAAGCACTGAAGATTTCCATCCCTGTTCCTTTCTCTCCTTCCATTTCCCCAGGAAATCATGACAGCAGCAAACCAAGGTAGGAGACCCTGTGACACACTCATGTTTATTTAAACCCCGTGCTTGCTGTTAACCCAGCTCAACACAACACTTTGAAGGAGGAGACACGTTCTCCGAGAGAATTTGGTAAGAAAAATGGATTCCTGGCTCCTCCTCCTTTTTCAGGTCTTAAAAAATGCCCCTCTACATTCAAAAGGGTTGGTTAGCACAGCTTTTTCAGTACCTTTTCTGATTATACGACTCAATTAAAAGCAAAAGCAATCAAGCACAATGGAAGTCCTACCCTTGGCAGCGCTGGGATATCAGGTTTGATATCACTGATTCCACACATGGCAGGAAGCAGAACAGCAAATAAGAACAGAACTACTCCCCTAAATTACTGACCTGCTAGCTTAAATCATCTGGAAAGTCTAAATGGCCTGAAAGAGTTCTCCATCTGGAACTAATTCAGTCTTCCTCCCTCAAGGCCAACCAGCAGCTGATGTTTACCAACAGCTGAAAACGTGGCAGTGGTTGGCAGTTGTTTCTCTTGGATTGCACACAAAGCCTCAATCCTCCAGCTCAAAAGAACCAGCACCGTGCAGTGCCTTTTCCTTGTATCTCCTCCAACCTTTAACTGCGCTCCCAGTAACAACGTTGTGTCAAGGTGGAAAATGTACCCACAGAGAACGCTGTGCAGTCAGCTTTACTCAAGGAAAACTAAAGCTCAGATACGCTGCAAGTGCTAAAGGCCGAATCTGACAGAGAAAAAAGAGGCTCGTGTCCACGACCCTTCATCTGTTACACAAGGGGACACCCAAACACTGCCCCCAGCACAGCAAACGGCACAGAATGCAGCAAGTTGGGACTATTAACAGTTTCACTACATTGTAACGACAAACACAGGCCGTAAACACAATACCAGAACTATTAACAGCTCCCACACAGAGAAGATGCCGAGAGATTGAAACAGCTTCAAGACTTTCTCGCATTCCAGCGCTCACCCACTCCTAGAGCCTTCCCTGCCCGTTCCGAGCCAGCCCCGCGCAGGCAATTCCCACTCGCGTTCCCGTCCCCGCAGCGCTCGGAGCATCCGCGGCCTTTCCGCCCGCTGTTCGGAGACCTCCAGCACCCACATCCCCCTCCCGGGGCCGGCCGGGGATGCTCCTCTCCGTCAGCGCCCGCTCTGCCCGCCCTCCATCCCTGCCCTTCCTCCCTCCCTGCCGGCACCTGGGGGCTCCCCGCGGCTCCGGCACACCCGGCATGCGGTTCCCGGCATGCGGCTCCCGGGACGCGGCCACCCATCCCTTCCCGAGCCGCCCCCGGAGCCGCGGGCAGGGAGGCGGGTCCGGCCCCGCCCCGCCCGGGCTGCCCCGGGCACCGGCGCCTTTGTCACCGCGGCCGCCCGTGGGAGGCCATTTTACCGACCCCGCGAGGAAATGAACCCAAGGAGCGGGGCGTGGGGAGGGGGGACAGGGTCACGGGGGACACGCACAGCGAGAACCGCGCCGAGCCCCCGCCGCGCCGAGCCCTCCATGGCCCCGGGGGCGCGCGGGGCGGGATGCGGGGCGGGATGCGGGGCGGGATGCTCGGCGGCCCCGCCGCCCGGGAGGGACCCTCGGGAGCGCTGCCCGGCCGTGCCGGGGAAGTGACGTGCGGGTGTCCCCCGGAAGAGCTGCGGGGGCCCCTCCGCAGCCATGTAGGTGCCGTCAGAGCGGGGCGGGAGCGCGGCCCGGCCATGGACGGCAGGTACGGCCGGCACCACCCGGGGAGGGGGTCCCGCCGCGCTGCCCGTGGCGGGGCAGTGCCGGGGGTGGGGAGGGCGCGGGCGGCCCCCCCCGCGGGTGCGTGGTGCGGCCCCGTGACCGTCCCGTTTTGTGACCATCCTGTCCCGTTGTGTGACTGCCCCATCCCGTTGTGTGACCATCCCGTCCCGTTTTGTGACCATCCCATCCCGTTGTGTGACCATCCCGTCCCGTTTTGTGACCGTCCCGTCCCGTTCTGTGACTGCCCCGTCCCGTTTTGTGACCATCCCGTCCCGTTGTGTGACCGTCCCGTCCCGTTCTGTGACTGCCCCGTCCCGTTTTGTGACCGCCCCGTCCCGTTGTGTCCCCGCAGCGGCGCCGCGGCCCCGGCGGAGCCGAGCCTGCCCAACCTCACCCCGCGACACCGGCAGCTCATCCCCACGCCCTGCGGGCCCGTGAGTACCCGCGCCCCGCGGCACCGCACACACACACACACACCCCTTCTGATAGTCATAGAATTACGGGATGTCCTGAGCCGGGAGGGACCCACAGGGATCATCCAGTCCAACCCCTGGCCCTGCACAGACACCCCAACAATCCTACCCTATCCCTGAGAGCGCTGTCCAAATGCTCCTTGAGCTCTGGCAGCCTTGGGAAGTGACCATTCCTTGGGAAGTGACCATTCCTTGGGAAGTGACCATTCCATGGGAAGCCTGTTGCAGTGCCCAACCTCCTTCTCTGGGGGAAGACCCATTTTTCCCGAGATCCAGCCCGACCCTGCCCTGCCACAGCTCCAGCCGTTCCTGGGGTCCTGTCCCTGCTCAGGGATGGGAGCAGTCATCTCTCTGTGCTGAGTTTCTGCGAGGACGTGGCTTCACCTGAAGTATTTTAGTGAGAGAAAACAAGGACCTCACTGAGAACCCCGACCCTGTGTTTGCAATCCTCTAAAACTGAAATCTGGGAATGTGTTGCCCGCTGGACACCTCCATGTACGTGTGTGGGCATTGGCAATCTCCAATCCCAGGAGATGGGATTACAATGCCATGACCTTTGCGAGACAGAAAGGTTGGAGGTACAAACCAGGGCAATCTTGGCTGAGATTAGTTATGCAATAAAGTCAGACTTCCCCCTTCCTCAGCAATTTTGGAGTTTCAGTTCAGTTGGAGAGTTTCTCTTCCTTTTCCCAGGGTAAAACCCTGCACTGCCTCATTTACCCAGCTTGCCCCCATGTGTTTTTTAGGAACAGCACCGAGTTTATTCTGCGTTCAGAAACATTTCCTTTGCAGATAAAGCCATGTTCAGAGCTCTCCTTCCCTGTCAAGATCTACTTCTGTGTCACTATTCTGTCCCTGCTGAGTGTCCTAGGGCTCACCATAGAGACACTGGTCCGGCAGACCGAGGAGGATTTCACCATTTCCTTTATCCAGTTGGTTGGAGTTGGTAAGAAACTGTTGGGGTTTTGAAACAAATACTTTTTTTTTTCCCCAATGTATAATTAAGCAGCAACTGAAGTTACTTACGTGAGAGGTGCTGAATGTTCAGCTGTGCCAGAAAAGCCTCCAGTTCCCATTTTAATGTCTGATCTCCAACAAGAAAATGTGAAGGCATCTCTCTCTGCTAAGTTCCTGCAAGGATGTTGCTTCATTTGAAGTATTTTGTTGAAATAAGAACCTCATTTTTAAAAAAATCTCCTTTTTGTCTAATATTATTCCCTCCACTGGAAGCGAGATCCAAACCTCCTTGGGTATTTCCAATGAGAGCTTCAATAGAAACTTCTTTTCATATTCTTGGGTCCATTTGTGTTAAACAGAAATTACCACGAAAATAATAATAAACTATTTCAGGAAGCGGCTTTAGCAGGTCTTGGCTGCCAAAACAGTGTGAAAAAGGAGAGATTGTGGGTGTAACACAGTCCTTGCCTTCCAGCTCTCACCCAGAGGGAACGAAGACAATAGCTTTGTTCCAGATTCTATAATTAGACAAATCCCAACAATGCTTTAATTCCAAACCTCTGATTTAATGAGCAGCTTTTCACACATCCCAGCACGAGCTGCAGTGTTAGAACAGCCTGAAGAACCCTCCGAATAAATCAGATCAGTCACAGGTCTGGGAAGTTGAAGCTGCACTGGCCCATCTGTTTTCCCCCAAACCCATGTTTTCTGTGTGCTAGACAAAGACTGACAGGTGTTTCTTTAAAGAAAACCAGATTTTACAGCCCTGGCTGTAACAACCTCTTGGGTTTACAATTGAATTTAAAGGGGGGTTGGGGGTTTAATCTGTTGAAAAATGTTCACCCCTCCAAAGCAAAGGGGTGTCCTGTATTTCAGAAACCTGCATGTGCCACCTCTGCAAAAACTTCACAAAAAAAAAAAAGAATTCCTTTTGATTGAGCAGCTGAATTTGCAAAACAAGGAAGTGCTGTCTTAAGTCTCTGAGGTCAAGAGCATGTCCCAAAAATCCCGTGATTCACTCTGTAATTTGCCAATCATTTTCCACTCTGTCAGTCCCTGTTAACGGCGGTGGAAAAGGAAGTTCAGTCACTGAAGGTTTGTTTGGAGACTCAAGTTATTGTGTTCCTTTGAAGACTTGGACAACACTTTGTCCCCCTGTCCCAGCCTTGCAAAAGGGGGGGATTTTTTACGTGTGGAATCCAGGAAGCAGCACTCTGGAAAAAGAAATCCTTTGTTACTCTGGCTGTGGGAAGAACCAACCAGTGTTTGCAGGAGCATCCTATAAAAGAACAAAGCCTTTTCCTTATTTCAGCTTTGCCAGAACAGCACAGAGTTCACAGTGACAGGTGACTGAGGGGCTTGGTGTATTCTATAAAAGCAGAACCTTTTCAGTTACTTTGCAGGGTGGGGAGTTTCAAAATTTCCCCCATAAAGATAAACTGAATCCATTCTGTCCAGTTCAGCACACAAACCACGTGCAGTGCCCAGACAACACTGCAGAGGGGGGAGTGTGTGAGCAGTAAACTGCCTGTTAGTCACCTGAACTTCCCTCCCTGGGAAGATGATGTCATCTCAGCTCTTTAACAAAAATGGTGCTGCTTCATTTCGTTCGAATATTCCATTGGACATAACCAGTGTGGTGTTAATAGATTAACACAGCCCAGCTGCCAGCTTGGGTGGCTGATACACTGCCCTTTGCAAAGAGTGGAATTTAAAAATCTGATTGTTTAAGTCCTGGGGAAGAGTGTTTGAAGTCTCTGATTCAGCCTCCTTGGTCCAACAAAGGCTGTGTGGATCGAGGAGCCTCAGCTCGAGGTTCTGAGCGGGTTTTGGGCTCCCAGCTGCAGCACACTGGGAGCTCTGCTGGTGTTCAGTGTGTCCTGACCTGGCACTGCCCTTGCCTTGTGCCCCCAGTGTTCTGTGTGTACTATGTGAGCCGGGGGATCCTGCAGGAGAACCGCCAGGAGCTGATGGTGTTCGTGCTGTCCATCCTGCTGGTGATGCTGCGCTCCGTCACCAACTTCACCGTCCTCCCCGCCGAGCAAAAGCCGAAGCTCCTGGTCAGTCTCCTGCTTTTCTCACTCATTTTCCCCTTCTCCACGTGTTGGGGGTGAAAATCCACAGATGTCAGAGGATTGCACAGGGTTACTGCAGAAAACACCCTTCACTTCTCCCGCTCTGCTTCAGATTTCCAGCTGTAAAACACCAGGCCTAAAATCACATAAATTTAACTGTGGATAGAACTGGATCTATCCACAGGACACAGCCCTGTGTTTTTATGAGATTTATGGGAACCTGCTGCAGGGAAATGAGACACAGCAAGCTGGGGGAGATACTTCCATTGCAGATTATCTTGTTTGCACTTCATAGCAATTAAATGCGATGCAAAGATTTCATTCTGTGCCTTGCTGAGATCTGGAGTTAAACTTCCCCTTGCTGTGCTTCCCAGGAGTCCTTCCTTTTTCATCACATATTTATCACAGGTGGAAAGAGGAAGTTGCTTGCTGTGAAGTCACCCAAAAATTATTCTTCAGTAGGAGAGGTGGCAACCAAAGTAGAAAGGTGGAGCAAAGGAGAATTTTCCAGTTTAGTTTATCTGTCAGCTGTACATAAAATTAAACAGGCTTATCTGCAGCCAAGTGGGTTGCTTGGGTCAATAAGGAACAGGCATCAGAGGGTGCAGGTTGCTTTAAGATGTGCAGCCAAGTCATCAGTTTATATATTAAACAAGAGCCTGCAAGTAAAGCCTGCTGGGGAAGATGTGAAGGGAGCTGTGAAGGGCTGTCTGTTTTACCAGCTGAGCAGTAACTTGGGTTGCTGGAACTCCTGAGCAGGAATGATTTCTGGTGTAAATATTCTCATAGCAGTGGAATTATGAAGGGTGCCACTCACACTGTCCTGTCCTGCCACGGCCAGTGCCACCCTTGTGTCTGTCCCCTCCAGGCCCGCTTTGTCCTGATCCTGCTGGTTGGCTCCTTCGACGTCATCTGTGCCATCATCCTCATCCAGAGCCAGAGCATGATGGCATTCCGGGTGGGGGGTGCCCTGGAGAGCCTCCAGTCCCAGTACTTCATGCTCAACCTCTGCTTCTCCATGCTCACCTTTGATCTCCAGGCACAGGTAAATGGCTCTGGCCCCCAAGTTCCCCTTTTTTCCCTTCTTATTAATGATAAGTTGGACAAGCTGAGCTAATTCTGAACTCCCCCAGCAATCCTGCCTCTGTCTTACCTTGTAGTGATGCTCAGGTTTCTATAGGGGGCCTCAGTTAAAATCCATAAAAATGAATCAATGTGATTTTATCACTGTCCTGCACAAAAGGAGAACTGAAACTCGCTTTTGGGAAGTTTATCCGTAACAACAGGTACATCCAGAGGTTCCAGCCCAGCCACAGCCTCCTGAAATAAGAAGGGTCATTCCTGCCCAACATCCCAGCTTACTCTGCTGCCTCCCAGCTGTGTCCTGCGCTGGGGGAAGGGATCCTGGGCTGGGAGAGGGGGCTGCAGGGTCCCAAAGCAGTGACTTCTCCCCATCTCTGCCCCTGCCAGCTGTGCCTGTGCATCCTGCTGATCAGCCTGCACAAGATCACCCTGGTGCACAACATCATCTCAGCCACGGGGGCCCTGTGGGGCTGCCTGAAGGTCACCGTGGGCATCGTGGCGGTGAGTGCTGAGCTGAGACCCCCGGGGAAAGCACCCTGAGGGGGCAGATCCTCACCCTGAGGGGGCAGATCCTCACCCTGAGGGGGCAGATCCTCACCCTGGGGGACAGATCCTCACCCTGAGGGGGCAGATCCTCACCCTGAGGGGACAGATCCTCCCCCTGAGGGGGCAGATCCTCACCCTGAGGGGGCAGATCCTCACCCTGAGCAGTCACCCCAGAAGGGACAGAGTTTTATTCTCAGTCCTTGATCACCTGTTTAAATGAAACCTGCAGGGTCACACTTCGTTGTTTGTGCCTCTCTGACAACGCTGGGTGAAACAGGGGAGAGTCCTCCAAATCACTGGGGTTACACAGACACAGTGAGACTTCACAGGCCTTAAATCCTTGGGACCAGAAAGATGGGTGGTCCTTTAGGGGGCAGCTTCTTCAAAGTTCAGGTTAAAATGAGGATTTGTGAACTTGAAATGTCATTTTTCACCTCCTGAAATCTTGAGACTCTGTTCCAAGAGTGATTGCAGAATCAGGGCCAAAGTACATCAGATACGTGAGTCTTTTATGACCAGGAAGGAGTTTAGGGGTTTTTTTTGGGGAGGGGGAGTGGTGAATATTTTTTTAGGCTCCTTGGCTGTTTGCTTTGCTGTTCACACGAATTCCTGGCAGCTGAAATGCAGCTTTCCAATTGTTTTGATGGCTTTCCGTGCTAAAAGTGGAGGCAGCACCAAGCACTGTGCTTTTAAAAGGCTTTGGCAACTCAGGTAACACAGAATCACCTTTCTCCTAATCAGAACAATGCCTGGAGGGCAAAGTTACAACTGAGAGCTCAGCCCGACCAACACTAGAAATGCCACTGAAAAATCAACTGTTTGGAGCTTTTACAGAGTATGTGACAAGGAGTTTTAGAGCTGTGTGTATGTCTTGCCTCATTCTACAGATCCTGAAGGAGCTGAAAGCCCTGGTGTGGGTTTTTCTGCTGCAGAATGTCCCTGAAGTGGTGTATCTGCTCTACCTGCTCTACACGGTAACACTCACCGGGCTGGGGGGGCTCCTCTTCAGTGCTGGGTCCTCCAAAACATCCTCCTGTTGGCTCCAAAGAGAGCAGCAGACACCTCCTACCTCCTCAGGATCCATTCTTCAGGACAGGAACCATTTCAGAGTGATCTTGAACTCGTTGGACACAGGCTCTGGAAGTCTCTGGCAAAGTGTCCGGAATAATTAGGGAAAAAGGCACCACAACCTCCCAGTAGAAGACACAGAGCTCCTCAGAAATGCCTCCCTTCCTTCACAGGGCCTCAGGTGGTGCCAGAGTGTTTGACAGGGGCTCAGCTGATGTGTTTTAAAGGATTTCTTAGGCAGCACCCCCAGCTGTTGATCTGCTGTAGCCAGAACGAGCCCACCCAAGCCCAGTGCTGGGCATTTATTTTGGCACGGGAAGGGTGATAAAGCATTTCTCAGCACCTCCCACGAGGTGGGAAAGGAGGCAGGGAGAGAGAAGGGCAAGGGCAGAGCAGGACACTTCACCCTCCATCTTCTAAACAGGAAACTTAAGTTTAAAAGGGACCATTTTGGGGTTTTTTTTCTTCCCCCAAATTCCCCTTCTCTCAGAAATTCGGGGCTCGATTGCATCTCACGGCCTCCAGGTTTGGGGTGCTGATTGTTTTATTGTCTCCATTTTCCTGCAGGTGATCAGGGAGTGGGGCAAAGGGAACTCCTACACTCTGGAAGCTGCTTTCATCACCGGCTCCTGCATTTCTGTTGCCATTAAATCTGTGCTGTTCTGGGCCCTGCTCCACGTGTACCGCAGCTTTGGGCAGGGGCTGAGAGAGAGAAGTGAGTACCTCAAAGAGCTGCCTGGGGGGGGTTGTGGCCCCTCGTTCCACAGGGAGCTGGAGAGGCAGGAAAACAGGGATAGTCCCAGTAAAAGGCACATTTCTGAGGGCATCAGGCAATTCTGCAGCCTCAGAGCTCACTGGGCTGAGCAAGCTCAGAAGCTGGAGAGGAGCATGTGTGGCTTCTCCCTGAGGAAAAGCTGACACTGGTCAGTTAAAATTGCTGCCAACTTTGCAGGGAATGCTGGCATCCAAAAAAATCAGGCCTGTGTGGAAAAAGATCCATGTGGGTTTTCTTATCGTGCTGTGTAAGAACAACGAGACACAGAATAAAGGGACCCAGAGAGCGACAGATCCTGAACAACCCCGAGCTCCTTTGGCAGGAGGGGCACTGTGAGCGTTGCTTTGGTGCTGACTGACCCTCCTCTCTGCCCACAGTGTTTTCTTCCTATGGAAGGATCGACTCCTGAGCCCCCCCGTGCTCCCCCTGCAGCTCCCACGGAGTGAAGGCACAGCAGGGACCTTCTGACCCAGCACTGACCGGGCTGGTGAATCTGGGGCCACCTGCACGGACGTCACACATTCCTGGACGGGGCTGGAGAGCCCCAGCAGGGCAGCTGGGATGGCTCAGACAGCAGAGGGGCACTCAGCCTTTAATATTGTAATTAAAAGTTTGCTATTTTATTGACTGCAACCTTTAACTACTGGCTATTTTTAAATAAAGCACAAGCACAGTGTGTGTGTGTGGATAATTATTTCACTTAAAACAGCACGAACTCAGTGGGAAATCTCATAATTAATATATAATTATTATAAATACAAACATAAATTTAAAAGCCCTATTAAAAATTTGTATTTTTCTCACCCCGGTCTCCTAAATCTGCATTAAATCTACATTGATGTGACCAAAGGGGGGGCACGAAGGGGTTAAGCTGTCTGGCCCCAGCTGACAGAGCAGCAGCTGATGGCTGTGACTTCATCCCACAAGTCAGGGGGACTGTGAATTGTTGCTGAAATGGGGAAACACAATCAGGCACATTCAGGCCTTTTGTGCAGCAGGGCCTGCCCAGAGCAGGACGAGGAAGGGAAGGCTCTGATCTTGCACAGATCAGGTGAAGAAAGGGTGTTTTATGCAATAAATAGAGTGGTAAATAGTTTTATGTCATAACTGGAGTGTCACTGTCCAAGGGAATTTTGCTATCCAAATTATCAGGGATTATTTGACAGCCTTGGCCTTGCATTTCTATCCCTGGGCCTTCAATCAAAAACATGGTCAGTCCATCCCAGCTCCCTGCACACAGGATCTGGTTCAGCCTGCACAGCAAACCCAGCATTTATTTCAAAACTCTTGAGCAAAAAAATTGAGAGAAGCCCTGAGTGTATTTGTAGAAAAGAGATGTCCCTGTCCCCTGAGACAACATCTCAACCCCCCTGGACATCTGCTCCCCAACCAACCACCTGGGTGTTCTTCATTTCCCTCCTCCCCCAGTCCAAGTGCTGCTGGACAAATCCAACTTTACAAAAAGATTTTATTGAAAGGATTGAAAAATAGTTTTGTCTTCAACAATATTTTTAAAACAGGTTCTCAATGCGTTAACAATATGTAACAGGATTTTTTTCAGCTTTTAAAAATTCAGTACACTGCTTTGCTCCGTGCTACACAGTTGTTAATGACTTCAATTTCTACCAGAGGATAACTTTAAAAAAAAACCCCAAAAAATCAAACCAAATTCATTTCCCAGCTTCCATTTTTGGCCCTTTGTAGACTGGAAAGGATCTGTAGGTACAGGGACACCCACAAACCCCTTGCTTTAGAAACTCCTCATCAGCAAAACCCTTATTTGTGTTTTGTTTTTGTTTTTTTTTCAGTACAGTTTCAACAAGTTAATCTGAACGAGCTACATCAGCAGAATGAGGTTTTATTGCCAACAAACCGAGTGTGCATTTACAGCTTTTTTTTTTGCCTTTTTTTTTTTTTTTCTGGTTCAGCTCTGAGCCAAAATTCCCCCCCCAGGACAGCAGTTGGATGTGAGAGCCCCAGGGCTGCTCAGGAACTGCAGTCTGGGAATGGCAGTTTGTGGATTAAAATCCTGGAGAAGGGCCTTGGAACACTCAGGTCAGTCTGAGCAGTTGGGATGTTGGGATAACTGGAGCCAAGGCAGCTTTGGGAAGGGAAATCAACCCAAAAACCTCCTCAGCAGCAAGAGCTTCTCCAACAAAAACTGCAGCAGCCCCAGAGCCAGCAGTGCAACTGCAGTGGGGGATAATTCAAAGAATAAATCCAAAGCCAACCCCTAAGGTGGGTCTAAAGTAGTTCAGTACACTTTGATTGCAGATTCCATGACCTGTGCACTCTGAAAATCAAAAGTCCGGCCACTTAGTCAAGAATAGCTCTACTATTATAAAAAGCATAAATAAAAAGTGCTGAATATAGTTTTATCTTTAAAAAAATACTAGATAAGGCTCATAAATCATCTCACCTTGCCTCTGCAAAATGATTCCCACTTCCCAGTGTGCCTGGAACTCCACTCCTTTTTCCATCTTACCACACATTTCCCCACCCCCTGCTCCTTCTCTCAATTATTGCATGTTTAAATAAAATAGATTCAAAGCAAAAAGCCTGACACTTCTACAGTTGAGAAAGTAACCAGTTCTCAGAGAACTGGATACCCCACCCAGGAAACCCGTAAGCAGCTTCAAAACAGTGATAAAACAATTACTGCAGATTCAAGTGGAAGAGAAACCCCCAAAGCTCCCCTGGACAATTCTCCCAGGTACCACAAAAATCCGTCTGTTTAGACCAGATCAACCCAAGGTTCTATTTTACAACATTTACAAACCCAGTCTTGGTTTCTATCGACACCCTTTCACTGTGATTTGAACCATTCACTGAGAGTTTGCTTCTCTTTTAAAAGGAAAAGTGCTCTCAGCTGCTCTGAATGAGCTCAGGGCAGCCCCCAGAACATTATTGGGACCATCAGAGGACAAGGGGTCAGGCAGGGCCTGGGAATGGGAAAGGGAACTCTCCCCATCCCCACTTTGGACCACGCAGAGCTTCTCACCCCCTCTCCAAGGAAAAGCAATCCCCCTGCAGGGCTGTGCCCCAGGCTCTCCCTGAACAGCCCCTGCTCCTTCAGAGACCCCCCAGCCAGGCTGCAGATGGGTGATGGTGATGGTGAGACTGCACCGCAGAGAACAGAAATGTAAACATCCCCCTGGGCTCTCAGCTCAACCCCAGGGCAAACCCTTTTATCCCCCCCCACCCCTCCCAACCAGTTCTGCCGTTGGGTTTTTTTGGTTTTCTGTCCTTTCACAAAAGCACAGAGAGTAAAATCTGTCCAGGGAGAGCAGTTAGAAACCTGGGAAAGCATCTCAGAAAAGGAGACACGGGGCTTGGAATAATCTTGAGTGCTGAAGGCACCGTTGCTGCTCCCCTGGGAATGTGTCCTCTCCAATTCTCCAGCCACCAGAAGCAGTGTCCCATCCTGTTCTGCTCAGCACCAAGAGCTGGAAGGTATCCATGGAAGCTGAGGGCATTGCAGGATATTTTCTTCCAGACAACAGTGGAACTAGACAAGATCGTGGCAATTGAAGTCCAGATTCTTCCTGAACACCTGGAGGACTTTTGTTTTTTTTTTTTTAAATGTCTCTAATGCTATTCCAGGGAATCAAGCAAAAAATAATTAGAAAAACACAACACATGGGTGATTCCCACCAGCAGGAACTGCAGAGCTCTAAAGCAGCTCAGCTACAAAACCAGAGGTACCTGCAATAATTAATGATATTTGTGGGTATTCCCACAGTGCTGACAGCCAAGGGTCAACCAGGAGATACAAATGCACACATAAAAAAATATATCCTTTTTGTGTTAGTTCCACCAATCAATAAAAAACATCCTCCATGGGTGTTTCTTCAGTGGGTCACATCTGAGAGCAAGAAAAGTGCTTTCTGGGCCAGATGTGTTCGGGCTAACAAAGAGGAGATTACCTTTTTTTTTTTCTTTTTTTTTTTAAGAAAGCTTCTTAGAGCCTTTATACTCAGAGCAGTGTTAAATGGAATTATAAATATACTGAATAAAACTGGCTATTTTAATGCCACTTCCCCGGGGTGTATCTACATTCAGCCTTGCCACTGCCAGTGGTTAAGGGAGAGGTTACAATCAAAGCTGCAGATGTGGTTGTTGGAAAGGATCCTTTTCCAGGAGGGAATTCCTGCTGGATCACAACAATCCAGAGCCCAATTTCTTCCATTCCTAACTCTCGGTCGGTGCAGGAAGGAACGCAATTCCCAGCCACGGCACCTGCCAGGTCACAAAGCACAGCCAGCAGTGCAGGCCCACACGCCCCTGGCCAAAGCCCAGGCAGGCAGAAGGGACACTGCCACTCTCCACTCCCACGGGGCTGGCAGATGGAGACACTCAAAACTCCTCCTCCTCCACGGCAAAGTTGTTCTGCTTCTTCCTGACGTTCCAGTGCAGGCACTCGGCCAGGCTCTCGAACCAGTCGCTCACGGGGTCTCGGAAGCAGATGGAAGGGAGGGGGTAGCAAGAGGTAGTGATGCTGATGCTGCAAACAGCACGGGACAGCTGTCAGGCAGGGCAGCAAACAGCACTCTGGGCAAGAACCAACCCCACTGCTGAGCTAACACAGCCCTGCAGCCTCCAAGAGCTCCCATGGCCCAGCCAGGAGCAAGGCTGAGGGGTCAGGGTTCGTAAATGTTCCTTCACTGGCAACAACTCCTTTACAGGTGTCAGAGAATGAGGGAACTGCATGGATCAGGGTTTTCTACCCTTAGAGATGTTACAATCAAAAATAAAAAGGCCTGACCTGTCTCCATGGCATATTTCCTGCCTCTTCCTCCCATCAAAGGAAACCCAGGCTGTGTTCCTGGCGTCGGGGGAGAGCATGATCTGAAAGAGAGACAGGAGCTCACCTGCAGGCCCAGAGCATTCCCAGGCACATTCCCACGGGCATTCCTTCACTGCCCACAGCATTTATGTGCTCGTTACAACGTTTGCAGTTCTTGGTTCACAAAAGAGAAATGAGAGCGAAGGAGCCGACCTTGAGTTCCACGCCAGCAGGAACCACGATGGGTCTGAAGGACAGGGAGTGTGGGCAGATGGGGGTGATCATGATGGCAGGAACGTTGGGATGGATCATGGAGGCTCCTGCTGCGGCTGCATACGCCGTGCTGCCCGTGGGGGTGGACACAATGACCCCTGGGAGGGACAAACGGGCACTGCATCAGCACCACAGTCATTGTGGCAGGCACAGCAGATCCCAGAGTCGTGAAAACCGAGCTGGTGTTCTAGGGCAGGACTGCAGCCTGGCACACACAGAAAGGAACTCCCTTTTAATCCCACCTGTCCTGCGCTCTGGGGATGTTGCTCAAAGTTGTGCATCTCGGGTTACAGGTTCTGTAACAGTGACTCTGGTTTTTCTTTCAAGGGTAGGAGCTTTGCAGGTGAACTCCTGCAGGCCACCAGCTGGGACTGTTTGCCTTCAGCAAACTCCAGCCATCCACACCAATCCTTCCTGAGCTATGCCTTGCCTTTAGCCCAACCATGTGACACCCAAAGAAACTGCCACTTGCCTCCACAAGCCCACAACAAGCTTACACCACCCCAAAGACTCCCTGGGGGACACACCAGTCACCAGTGAACAAACACACCTATCCCTTGCACGCTCATCTTTGCTGCCACAGGTGAACTGAGAAGGGACAGAGCTCCAGACTCACCATCTCCCTGCACTGTGGTGATCAGGTGTCCATTCAGAAACACATCCACGTTGGACAGGTAGGAGGAAGGGCCACGATCCACCACGACCTCGTTGAGGACCTGCCACGACACCAAACATTTACCCCAGCCTGGGTCTGCTGCCCTGGCAAGGGAATAAAGGACCAAGGGAAACAACGTTTTCCAGACCTCTGGAAAATGCAGGCTGATTTAGCAGCTGCCAAATCAGACTCTCTTCACTTCTGTCATATCAAGTGCCAGCTGAAGCCTTTGGCTGTTATGAGTCATTTCCAGAAGCTGGTCACTAATGGTTTGTCTTTTCATTTATTAACAAAATCTTCGCTGTATCTCACTTTAGAACTGCTACTTTTGTTGTCAAAACAGAAGGAAGGCTGGATTCCACCCTGGAGGTCTTTTCCAACCTAAGTAACTCTGTGATTTCTGTGAAATTACTGCCAAAGCCAAAGCACAGCAAGAGCAGATATGGGCACCCCTCCCTCCTCCTTCAGTGCCCACACCGAGTTAGAGCAGCCCAGATCAGTCCCACAGCATTGGGACACAAAACAATCACCCAGCAATTCAAACCCAGCCTTCAGTCCCGCTGCCTGCTGTGCCCCCTCACCTGGTACTGCATGACTTGCTTGCCCCCTTCCTTCTCCAGGCTGGCGGGCACGACCCCGTTCTCCTCGATGCCGTTCGGGACCGCCGCTCTCTCCCTGTGCTCCTTCACCACCTTCACCTTGAGCCTGCTCCTGAGCACCAGGGCTGCATTGCCTGGGGGTGGAGAACAGGAGGCAGCACTCCCAGGACCGTGGCAGTGCAGCAAATCCCCCCAGGATGAAATGCCCTCCCCTCGTTCCTGAGCTTCCAGCGCTCCCGGTTCATTCCCAGGATAATGGGCTACGCTCGGTTAAAGCTCTGAGCTGATTTTTAGTAGTACACGAGCAAAACTGAAGTCAAATTTCAGTCCCTTCCCACCCTCCTCACTGTGTAAAATTTGATTTTTATATGGGTGTGATCAAGACTGGAAAACGCTGCTGGGCTTGTGTGATCTTCACTGAGACCAGAGCCAAGTGAAAGAAAACCAGAGCAGGAGAAATGTGTACTAAAAGGCAACATTCCAGGAATGTGGGAATTTTATACATCTTTTTTTTTTTTAGAATCTACTTTGGGCACAACTCAATCGCATTTTGAAGAAATAAAGTATTTTTTACTTCCATAAAATATTTTATGTTTGCCTGACTCGTCAGTTTTTAAACACTGCACTGCTTAGAGAACTGGTATAGAAAAATGTCACAATAGAAACACCACCCCTTGTCCCCTTAAATTTACCTTCTATAACCTGAGTGACTTGGGACTGAAAATTCTCGAAATTAAAGGGAGTAAGAAATCCAAGGGATCCCAGATGAAAAGCCATAACTGGGGGGACGCTGCCCTATCAACAAAGAAAAGAATTTTAGAGCCACTGAATCAAAGCAATTCACATCTCAGCTCATTGCTGTAAACATTTTGAGTACTGATGTAACTGTGCTTAACAAAACCAGCCCATTTTCCATCATTTTCAGGAGGTAAAACGGGTTTGATGACGAAAGGAACCACCAGCAAAGGACAAATGTGAACTCGGCAGCAAAGGGGGGAAAACCCACTTTCAAATGCTTCAAAAAGGAAAGGTTTTCAGGTCTATCTCCCACAAGGACCAACCTGGAAAAGTGAAGAAGCATAAAGCAAGGTCCCATCTCCTCCCAGGCAAATGATAAAGTCTATCTGATTGGAGATATCATCATAATCTGCAAGCAGCAGAGAAACACAAGCTCTGAATTAAGCTGTACCAACACTCCTCTTCATCCCCCAGCTACAACCAGGAAGAAAAATCCCAAGCTGCAGCACGACAACATTCACCCAGGAACACTAAAAAAACCCCAAAACTGGGATGTAACTACAAATGTTTGCAAAAGACACTTAAAATTAACAAACCCAACCCAGAGAAGCACAAGAGAAAAAGCAAACATAACTGTCCCCTCAAGGAGTCACTCCCGTACCTTCTCTGAAGGTGCAAAATTTCTTCTTCACTGGTCCAAAATTCTCATCATTAGCTATGGCAGGGTCTTCCAGCACCTTTTTCTCTACATACACTATCATATTGTTCTCCTTGGGACAGAGACAATAAGCTTGTTATTAATGGCTTAGAATGCCAACACATCTGACTCTCCCCGTGGTCTGCTTTAGTTTACAACACTTAAATAACAGTTCACAGCAGTGCTCTGCACACCTTGGTTGTTCTTCCCTGGGTGGTTTTAACTCTCAGGAGGATTTTGCAGCGTGCACAGACCACGTAATAAATGAAAGTGCAGCCTGGAATGCAGATGACACAGAGCAGAACCACTGCTGTGTTTGGCCAGGGCTTAAAGCTCCTGAATATCCCACTCCCTGTCATTTGGAACTGCAGAGAGGAAGGTTTCACTTCACTTTTTTCGGGGTTTTAAGCTCTGTGCTTGAAGTACTTCAGCACTGATCCTGAGCTCTGAAGCAGATTTTACCACACCCAGTGGCAAGGGCTGTGAAGGTTTATCTGCACGTGGTAATTCTGCACACTAAACACAATCAGTAACTCAGAGAGGTTTAGACACAACATTTTTTATGGTAAAACTGGAATTTCCCCTCTCACTACCTCGGTCAGGTACACACAAAGCTCCTTGAAGGGCTGCAGCAAACTGGCATCCCGGATCTTCTTGATCACCAGGACACTCTTGGGGGGTTTGTTCCACGTCAACCGCTGGCTGGCTGGATCCTGGATGTGCCTGCAGGACAAAGACCCCCCAGAGTCACCACCTCCTGACCTGATCTGCCAGTGATACAGGGGTAAAAACCCCTCAGCACAACACAGGACTCAGGTGTGGTAACTCCTGGCCCTGCTGCCACAGGAGCAGCCTGTGCAGAAAGGGACTTGAACAGAAGCACCACAACAGCTCTCAGAGCAAACTCCTCCACTGACACCTCCCCTGCTGCTCCCCTGCAGTGTTCCAGTGCTCTCCCCTCTTCAGCCGACCCAAAACAAGGACAAACATTCAATCAGGGCATCAGAAAAAGCTGCAGCATAATTTTTTTTCCCCCATCCAACACTGCAAGTCAAAAGGCTTAATGTAAATTTAGAATTCATTCCATTTTAGTGCCCATATTCTACATTCAAAGCACAGCAGAAACTAAGTTATAATGCAGGAGTCTAATATCAACAACACTGACAAGAACTGAAGTTTGCAGCACTGATTTCACTGGATGAGCCCAGAACCAGTTCCAGCTTCACTCAGACAGAGGCCAGGCTGCCTCTTTCCAGCTGTACTCACCAATTCCACGGAGTTCTACTACACGAAACGTTACTCATAACACACTTTAAGATCTTCATGTTTCCCTCCAGGAGTCAGGCAAATGCAACAGCTCCAAAAAAAAAGTAAAAGGCTGAGGCTTTTATCACTTGTTAATAAACTGTGGCCTCAGAAGAAAACATGTGGCTCTGAACAATGTTTCTCCCTGTTGAAGTGTTTCAATCGGTCCCAATAAAACGCTGTGAGGCTTCCCAGGAAAATCCCCTGGAAAACGTTTACTCCGGAATCATCAGAGGCAAGACTTCACCAGGAAAATCCCATCTCAAAAAAGAGCTTCAAAACCAGGTATTTGACTTCCCCTTTCTCTCCAGATCCTTTTTTCCCTGAGGGTTCACTCAGTTCATCGTGAGAGCCCCCAGAAGGCGGCTCTGCCAGCTCTGGTGCTGATGTCGCACTGACAGAGGCACCCAGACCCTCCCTGACTTCTGCCTGGATGTAAAAATTGTGATTCTCTGCTAAAAAGTTCCTTCCCATGAAGGGAGTGTAATGATATTATTACTCAGACAAGGAAAAAAAAAAAAAAAAAATAAAAAAAAATAAAAAAGGTTTTGCTCGTTTTTAGGAGAGCCAACAAAACCCTGGGCGCAGCGAGAAAAGGAATTTACAGTTTGGTCCTCAGTCCTTCAGTTCAAGCACCTTTGCTCCCCCCAAGCTGTCCTGCCCAGGCAGCTTTCCCCTGGCACGTGTCACCTGCAGCCTCTGCACGCCAGGGCTCCTGTCCCTGCAGTTATACCCCTTGTCCTGGGCCAGCCCCTGGGGAGGAGCTGCTCCCACAGCCAGGTGGGGAAACACAGCCCAGGCGGGGCTTCAGCTGAGCCCAGCTCTGCAGGGCTTCTGACACCACCACCAGGAACCAGGAAACTCAGGGTTCCCTCCCGGAGAGATCCGAGTCACACCCTGCTGGGGAAGGGCTGGGGACCACCGGTGTGATGAGAGCATCACTGTCTGCTGAAGGGTTGGGGACCACCAGTGTCCTGAGAACAGCCCTGTGTGCTGAGGGGAAGGGCTTGGGCAAGTAAATATTGACTTAAATACCTCACACTTAAGGGAGAGAGCAAAGAAATAAAACCTTTTAAAGGGGCAAAAATCGTGGGTTTTTCCCAGCACGGTTTGGGATGGGAGGGAACTTAAAGGTCACCCAGTTCCCTTCCGCGGGCAGGGACACCTTCCACCATCCCAGGGGTGAGGAGGGGGAAAGCAAACTTCTCTTTGCCCCACAAGGAGCACGGTGCCCTTCACTTGAGGAGCACTTACATAATGGTTTTAGGGTTTTGCAGCATACAGGCCTTTGGTCCAAACGTGGTCACTGGGCATGGTCCGTGCAGGGAGCGTGTTCTCCTGGAGGGACAAAAACCAAAAATCAACTAGAGAAAAAAACCAAATCTGAGGACAAACTGGGGGCATTTGGCTCCACAGCCACCCAAACCACTTCTCTGGGACAGCTGCACTAAGAAATGCAGGGCAAAGTACATTTCTTAACCCTGCCTTTGTTGCCACCGTTTCATTTTGCAGGTGTTAACTCTCACATTGAGTGTCTGCACCAGCTCCTGTGTGACACCAGGCTCACTGCTGCAGGCACAGTAATGCCTTCTCCCCCTCTATTTCTTGAGGCACTACACCTTACCTAAGAGTACCCATTTTTAGAATGGCTGAATCTGGTGTAAATACACAGAAAACAGCTCGGTGAGGGCTCTTCATGCACATGGCATTAGGTCTCCCAGTGTGTGCCCTGACCAGCATTTACAGCGAGATCTCCAGCACCAAGGCAGCTCCTTCAAGTTCTTTTGCCACTGTCAAGTCACAGTGAGTTATTTAAACACCTTTTTTGTTGTTTAAATCTTGGCACTCGATAAATTAACGAAATGCAAACCCTTCAGTCCTAAGGCCCACGGAGGTATCTGCAGTACCAGGCTGTGCCTCTGAACAGGTTGGAAAAAATGCTGGTTTTTCCCTGTTTGTTCCTATATATCTCCTGTGACCTTTGCCTTCAAATAAGCAGCAGCTCTGAGGTGTCATTTATGCTCAAAATGAACACAGGAGAACACAGGGTTACTCCTGGCTCCAGGGTGAGATTATCTGGAGCGAGTCAGAACTCACCTCCCTCCCACCTCCCTCAAGCAAATCTGGAAAGGGGAGCAAAACTTAACCATGGAACTGTTGAAACATTCTGTGAGTGCTCCTAGAATTATTCCATTAAAAAGGAGGGGGAAACATGCCTTTCCTGTGCTTAATTCATTTACCCTGCTGCTTGGCAGCAACAATCATTACTGCACTGCCTGCTATTGTGTGTGTTATAAAGCAGCTCAGGCCAGCCCTGTGACTCACTCTCAGAGCTAAAAAAACCCTCAGAAATCTAATAAAAATCAGAAGCAGCTCACAGGTCACAAATCTATATAATTAAGGAATAACAGCAACATCCCATTTGTTCCATGCCTAACAAAATGTGAGTGCCCAAGATCCGACTTCCGACCACCGAAACAGAAATCCTATTTGTTTCTCAAATGATTTTTTTTTTCCCCCCATCTGTAAGGCTAACCCAGTCAGATAAGAGCATTATTAAGTGTTTTATAAAGTTTACCTTACTTACATGAAGCAGAAGAATGAGCAAGGGCTGGCACAAGGAAGGATTAATGTGTGTGCCAGCACGGGCCAGGGAGTGATAAAGTCTCTCTCCACCGGTGAGCAATTACACTGGAAACCAGCAGAGTTAAATAACACCCTGGCACGGCATCACCTCCCACTTCTTGCCCCACTCAAGCTTCTCCCAGATAACTGTCATCTTTTGCCTTCTTTCAACACAGGTCATTATTCCAGGCCCCTCCCAGTGACTGGAATTCTGTTCCCACATTAAATATCCACGGCCGACCTTCAGGCTGTTCCAGCCATGAATCAATCCCTGCTTAACTTTTCACTGAGATTTCGCTTGGGTTTATTATTTATCAGCCTGTGCACTACTCAATAAAATGTCTGCACTGAATTTAAAGTTGTTTCTAGTCAGTCCCTGCCACGAATGAGCAGCAATGCCCTGGAAATCATCCATCTTTTAGGAAAATCTGCCTGTCAGCTCGGAGCAGATGGGCAACTCCCTCCATCTGAACACTCCAGAGGAAGCCTGAGAGCACTTCCTGGCAGTCTTGTGACAATTTAGCCCTAAACTGAAGACAGAGAATGACTGCAGAGCATCTTAATGCAGAGAAACCTCGGAAACAATGACCCCAACCCAAACCACCCTGCACAGGGGTCCACAAAGATCACTCCTGGCTGGAAAAGCACTTATTTAGCCAGAAGATAACACACAACAAGTTGGACCACATGGTCATTTACACAGGCTGGCTGAAGTCTGTGTTCGTAAAGGCAGAAGTGGAGAAGAGGAAGCCCCCCAGTTTTACAGGGTGATTTAAACCCAAACTCTTATTTATTGACTGCACACCCCCTCCACAGCTGGGACAGAAGAGCCAGAGCAGAGCCCTCAGCAAAGCCCTGCCAGCAGCACGAAGGACACTCAACTGCACACACAGAGTGGATTTTCCCAACCTTGCAGCCTCTTCAGACCAAGGTTTCAGCTTGCCTCCCTTCCCCCTGGGATGTGCAGCCTCACCCACCCGTGCTCTGCCTCCCAAGGACATTCCTACCAGCAAGGCAGGAACTCCGGACCGCGTTCCATGGGAACTCCTCCGAGGCTCTGCCCGTGCTTTGGAGGCTCCCAGGGCCAGGAGGGTGAAGTTCTGCTGTGCCTCCCACCACGCCAGCCCCACTGCTGCCCCAGCACTGCTCAATATTTGCAGAGGGTCCAAAGATCACGGAATCAGAAGTCCCATCCCTGCCCACATGACGAGGGCCGTGCAGTGAGAGTGGAAATTTGGCTCAGGGGAATAACTGGGCGTTTCTGGGGGCTGGGGAAGTGTCTGCAAACACCAACTGAACCCAAACACTCCCCCAGCTTTTTAACACACAGCCCTAGGGCTCTGCCTAGAGAAAAAGAAAAGCAGCACCAGAGCATTTGTAAAGGTTTGCAGGAGTGACCCTGCTGTTGATTTACATTATTATATTATTTTTCTTACTGTACCCCCCCCACCTTCGCTTTGCAACACCGTTTTATGGTTATATAAAAGGAGTGAGAATTAAACTCTAGTGCTAAATGGATCCATTTCAGCAGGAACAGGAAGGAGCAGGAGCTGTACCGGAATTCTTTGGTGCTTCCCAGGGCTGGGGAGGCCGACAGGCTGCGAGACTTGGAGCGGCCCCGGCTGGTGTTGCCCCACTCCTCGTCATCGTGGCACGCTGAGCAGTGATAGCCAGAGTCTGAGCTGCCCTCAGCCTTGCTGGCACACAGCTTGTCCCGACTCATCTCCATCCTCCAGGAAGCGAAGGAGCCTCAGCCAGAGAGAAATCCAATCCCTGGGGAAAAGACACAGGGAGAAAACCAAAAAAATCTCGGTATTAGCAAAGCTAATGAAAAAATACCCCTGTCAAATAATGAAATAGGAAGAGCCATAACAAAACCTCAGCTCTTCACAAAAATTAATTCCAAGCTGGAGGAAAAGTTGGAAGAAAGTTCTTAACTCATTTGTGACAAAATGCGTCCAAAACAAACAGGACAAAATAAGGACAAATGTGAACTATTTCACTTCCACAAATGACCAGCACAAACAGAAGACAAACAGCTGATAAAAAGCCCAGCTTTGCAGAAACAAACCAAACCAAAACCCAACCTCGAAATAACGGCAAAAGTTCCTGAAATCTCGTGTGTAAGTTCCCACTGCTTGAAGCAAACAGAACCAGCCTTATCAGAATATAAATAGAAGCCAACTTTCAGGGTATGGACAAACACCAAACCATAAACAAATAGTATCCAAGGAGAGCAGCCCAGAGGAGCAGCACATTCCTCAAGGCAGCTGATTCCAAGATGGGGGGGGGAAAGTTGGTTCCTTAAAACCCTGCGGATGTTTTCGTCGCTTTGGATGCACTTCCCGCTTTGTCCCACGCAGAGAGGAACTGAGGGTTCCTGAAACCTTTGCCGTGGGCTGTGGCTCTGGAAAACTGTCACAGATGACATCCTCCCCAGTTTTACAGGCACTGTTTCCCAGCATCCCAACTCCCAGACAACAAACCCATCACCAAAACGCAGCTGCCGTTTCAGACCGAGCCCTGAACGAGACAGAACCACCAACTGATCAAACCAGAAAGGGCTTTTGCTCCTGCTGCAGCTCAGCCACCGCCACAGAGAGGTACAATTACTGCCAGCATTAATAATTTCTAACATCCTGCACTTGCAGAGGCATCAGTGTTCAGCTGTGGGTTACTCACTGCTCAGCGTCACCCGTGACCAGCCCTTGGGAAAGACTCATTTCAACACATTCATAACTCCTCACAACTAAGATTTGGGAAAAATGGGCCTCTATTTCGAGACAACTGAAGCTCAGTGTAAAGTCTGTGCCAGTTAGGTGACTAAGGGGGGAGGGCAGAGAACGATAATTTACATAATAAGCAATAAGCAAGGAGCGTTTCCATGTGACTTGGATTGAATTATGTTCATCTGACAGATGCTGACAGTAAAGAAAATCAGATTAGGACAAAACTGGAAGTAAGAAGGTACACAGACCTACTAAATACAGCCTAAGAACTCCCTCCATGTAATACTTTCCAATTCAGGCTGTTTTAACTACAGCTTGCACTGTGCACTGTTTAATTAACATTCCCTCACAAGACCTTTATTAAATAAGCAGACTTGACATAAGGACAAAACTACCACTGAACAGCTTCCAGGACTGGATCCAGAAACTTTCAAACACATGCTAACAAAGCAGTGAAAAGGCTGCTCTGGTTTCAATCATGTCCAGAATTTTAAAAATTTAAGAAAAGAAAACCCTAAGGAAAACAAGCATTTAGATGCCCAGCATTGCAGAATGAAGGACAACTGAGGAAGGGTCAACATTTAATATTAAATATCTGTGATGGTGACCCAGGAACCAGGTGAATCACCTCTCACACAGATCCAACTGCAGTTTTACTGTAGTTTCCTATCTCAAATTTCTCTGTCCCCGTGAATTAACACTCCTATGAAGAGGTTTCATCAAACCATCTTTATGTAGAGGGACACGATGCCATCACATCCCCAAAAGGAGCATAAGGCTGCAAATCACCAGGGGAATTAATTTTATTTTCTAACAACCTGGGAGCTGTTATTTCATAACAAACTTTCCCCGTCAAAGGCTCTGCCCTGAGAGGTCCTGGTTACAGGATCAGTGCAGGTCCATCCCCACCAGATCCTCACACACCTTCAAGGCTGCAGCATTTCCGATCTCCTGCACATAAAACAGGTATTCAAAACCCCTTACTTTGTACTTTGTATTAGGACAAAAGAGGACAATGTTCTATCCCAAACTGGTACCACTTGCCCCACTGCTCCAGAACCCTGTTTGCTGGATCACTCAGTCCGTGCTGAAGGGTTTTTGTGTTCCATCTGGCTGAAGGAAGCAACAGAGGTTCCCTGCCTTTGACTCCTTCCCAGGGCACTAAAGCCCCTCTCACACCCAGAAAAAGGAACAAGGGTATCAGACAGCCCGGACTTCCTCTCGGTTTGGTTTAGAACTTCACATTTCGGAGGGTCTGAACAAACCCAACCCCAGCTGGGGCGCAGCCGCTGTCCGACAGCAATTGCAATTCATCCGCCCGGGATTTGATTACACACCCAAATGCTATTTCTACCAAAAACCAGACAGTGTGACCATCACGTGTGCGACACCCGGGCAAAACAGGCCCGTTTGTTAACCCTTCCACCCCAAAACAACCCCCCGGCGGCTCCACGGGTGGGGGCATCAACACCCCGAGCCCACTGGCCCGCTCGGAGCCGGCCCCGCGGGGGTCGCAGCTCCGGGATGAGCTGCTATCCCTGTGAAATGAGTTGCTATCCCTGCGGGATGAGCTGTTATCCCTGTGAGAATGAGCTGCTATCCCTGCGGGAAGGGTCCCGCCCCGAGGTTCCCGGTGGAGAGCCCTCCTGGCTCTGCCGGAGCTCCCGGGGAGCCCGAGAGGGATGCGGGACGGGGATGCGGGACGGGGGCACGTGGGATGGAGATCCGAGCAGTCCCGGCGGGGACACGGACCGGGGGCGACACTCACGGGGGGACAGAGGGACACGCACCGGGGCAGGACAGGCACCGGGGCAGGACAGGCACCGGGGGGACCCGCACCGGGGGGACAGAGGGATACACGGACACCGGGACACAGCCGGGGGAAAAGAGCGACACGCACAGGGGACACACCCGTGCACCGGGGGACACAGAGGGATCCCGGTGGACACAGAGGGACCCGCCCCGCGGGCACACGCGCCCCGCTCCCCCCGGGGCCGCGCTGGTTGCGCGGGTGGGCGCGCGGGGCGCGGACTCACGGCGGGCGGTGTCTCAGCGGCGCTGCGGGTGGTGCCGGCGGTGCCGGGCGCTGTGCGGGGCGCTGTGCGGGGCGCGGTGCGGGCGGAGCGGTCGGAGCGGGGCCCGGGCCCGGCGCTCCCTGCGCGCCTCCATCGCCCCGGCCCCGCCTCCCCGCGCGCACGCGCAGAGCACAGCGGGCCCCGCGCGCAGGCGCGGCCCCCCCACTCCCTCATGGCTGGGTCAGCACACGGAGATTGATTAATCAATTCATTAATTAATTAATCGGCGGCGGGAGCGGGGTCGGGGGTGGTCGCGGTTGTACAGTGGCCAGCAGTGCGATCCCGCGCGGGTGCGGGTGCACAGGCGGGAGAGGTGCCGGGTGTGGGACATGGGGCATCTCCCCTGCGGCCACCCCACCACCTCCAACCATGTCCTCCAGTCATCATCTCCTCAGAACATCTCCCCTCCAAACACCATCCCCTCCAAACACCATCCCCTCAGAGCATCTCCCCTCCAACCACCATCCTCTCCAACCACCATCCCCTCCAACCACCATCTCTTCAGACCATCTCTCCTCCAACCACCATCCCCTCCAACCACCATCTCCTCAGACCATCATCTCCTCAGAGCATCTCCCTGCAACCATCCCCTTTCTGATGATCTCCCCTGTGACCATCTCCCCTCCAACCATCTCCCCTCAGAGTCACAGAGTCACCCCCAACCATCCCATCACCCTCTGACCATCATTTCCCCCCCCAACCATCTCCCCTCCATCCATCCCACCTCTACCCATCCCACCTCCAGCCATCTCCCCTCCCACCCTCTCCCCATCACCATCTCCCCCGTACCTGCACTCCCACTTGTCTCCCCTTGTCCTCCAGCTGCCACCACGCCTTCCCCTCCCTTTGCCAAGGGTGTAGCTGTTGGCACAGCTCACCCACACCCTCCTCACGTCTCCCACAGTACCTGTCACAAACTTTTACCCTCATCTGGCCTGACATCAGCAGCTAAATTCTCTTTCTGGTAAGAAAAGCCCTGCTTGACAACACACATTATCGTGTCAGAGTCACTCAAATACAGGCAGGAGGTGCTGAAATGGAGGAAACCATTTTCCAGTCTGTACTTGATCTGGAAAAACAAAAAGCATCTGGTTTCGGTTCCTTGAAATCACCAGGAGCTTTGTCTCAAAAAAACCAGATCCTCCACCAGAGGCAGGATCAAGCCCCTGTATAGACGCCAACAGTAAAAGAATCTTTCAGTGACCAAACCCAGGCAGGTTTTCTAATTCCTAAATTGCACCTCAAACCAACACGACTCTAAAGAGATCACACACTCACTGGATAAATCCCATCAGGGCAAAGCCACACAGTGAGAACAAGTTACCCCATGTGAGAATGTGGCAACTGGGCATTCTGTTTTCTCCTTCGTGTAGAAATTTGTTTTCGAGAAACTGGAGGCTGTAAACAACTGACAGTCAATAAATGTTGAAAAAGAAGAGGAAGCAGTTGCTACATGTGGGAAAATTCCATCGGCCAGGTTACATCACTTGTGAAAGTCCAGGGTTTGAGTTAAAATGTCACTTCAGTCCTTCCTGCCACAGCCCAGTCTGCAAGGAATTAAGGCAGCAATACACAGGTCTATGGAGTTAATGAGATCTCAGAGGCTCAAATGGCT